TTTCTTCGCTTTTCGCCGTTTATCAAGTGGTTTAGGGTTATATTTTTTGGAAAAGTTTGAGTAGACAGATGTAGCAAGCCGCAGTTCTTAAAACAATATAATGTATGTTTGTTTTCTATTGATATTGTTCTTTGGAATTCTTCATGTGCATAATCCCTTTGTTTAGTTACGAGCCATTGTTTATGCTTTTCAGTCTATATATTCTCAGTGTTCAACGACCCCTGACCTCCAGTTTTAGCATAATCTATTAGTTTTGTTGTTCAAGTATCTGATATCTGATAACAACTTGTTCAACAGTGGTTGTTAGTCGCTTAAAGTCCCTATTTTTGATTACCGTGATAGTGTTTCGGTTGGTCTTCCTGTATAACAAGTGCGGCGAAGACGGTCTTGATCATGAACGCCTCAAAACAAAATTGTATCTATGTCTAGTTCTACTGACACTGCTATGCAGATTTAAAAAAAAAATAGTCATGGGCTCCTGATGCCACTAGAGACTCACAGAGACAAACATGTCTGTTAGTTAGTCAAGAAATGGTTAACTAATAACGTCCCGCATTGCCTGCGTGCAGACGTCTCCTATTTCCTTTGTTTTCCGCGTGCAACAAAGGAAATAGGAGACGTCTGCACGCAGGCAACGTCCCGCAACGTATTACACCTTTAACTGGGATGTCGTTCCCAGGATTACGCGACGGAGTAATTTTCTTCGTTACCCGCGAGTTAGGACTGAATTAAGCCGCCAATAAAAGTCAGGTCTCTTAGTGCAAAATATAGGCCGGATCGTTATAGAAGTGACAAAAGTGTCAAATTTGGCACAGAGCTTCCTTAGCACCTGCCGAATAATACTGGAGGGGGTGCCCGTTACAAATGGTCCTAATTAAAGATAAAAGGGGGGATTAACTTTCACCTATAATAACAGATTGGGTCCCCTGTGGTGAGTACTCTTCTCGTTTGATTTGGCCAAAAAACATTTGTTTCAAACTTTGAAGTTTTTAATTTGGTAATGTTTAGTTGCTGTTACACTATTCAAGATAGTTTTACATGTACATAATACTGACTAGTGCCCAGTCTCCACACGGTAAGTGTGACCATGTTCACTGTGCGGCTATCAGTGTCACTGCTAAGATTTGCCAGTGATAATATCATTACATATCAATTTAAACAGATCACAAAGCCATCTTTCAAAGATGTCATACAATAACATAAAACCCAAATGTGTCACATCCTAAACGATAGAATCGTTAAATTGACATGCCAAATGAACGACCTCATGAACCATAACCGACAACGCGCCCACTTTGTAATTGTGCAGCTAAGATTAGATTATAATTTGCTTCGTTGGTAACCCTGTCCTTGAGATAATGATTAAAACATGTCAACCTCGTCCTCAGGGGGAAAAGGAGGAGTAAGGGTGGTCGCTTTACCTTTTTCTACTTTTTTATTAAGCCCTGGGACGACACATGCCTCTCGAGGAATTTTTAACACTCTTTATTTTTTACACATTTGCATTTAAAGAGAAGTCGCGGTATGAGGTCCCTGCATGCCTAGACACCTGTAAGGAGCTCATTCACTTCAGAGCCCTCGCACCAGAGTGTTACTGTTAGGTCTATACGATCTTTCAAAAAAAAGGAAGGTCGACGAGTGCGTTACAATTTACAAACAAACTAACTTCAGAAGAAAAGTTACAGTAACAAGGCTTCTTTTATCCAACCAATGATGCATCATTTACGAAAATGAATGTAATTTGTTTGATGCAATTAGGCGAATACACTGTGGTTACAAAATCTTACAATCATGAATTCCTCAAGAGCAATTCAGTTACCAACTTTTCACAAAATAATGTTGTGGAAAATTACAGAAAATACCAAAAAAAAGCAAGGGTCAACAATAATTATGGCCTGGTCCCTTATAATAATAGAGTGTTCGTGATAAAGAAGCCCATCAGCCCCAACTTTGCCCACTCAAATTAACAGATTTCTGACGAATTGCATACCGCAAAACTTTGCATTCAGTTATGCCTACTTTGCCACACTAGGAGCCTAGAAATCGGCTCCTGGTCATACCTTGTTTTTATTGCTGAATATTATTCTAAAGAGCTTTACGAAATATTTCGTTAGTAGGGGTGTTTTGAACATGATTGAAATTTAGAGATGTGACAAAAACGAACCCCAAAAAAGTCACAAAACGAGACGCATGAAACAACCGCAATCTAATATTCGTGTTACACCAATGAATGGCTCCTTTGGCAGCCATTCTGACGTTTTTGAAGATGGAAGTAGTATCACAGCTATTTCCGGGTTAGGTATACCGTTTATTACCAGTTTCACGGTTCCTGAGACTTAGGGCCTGTTAACATAAAGGTGGGGGACCCCAGGTAGGTGAGGTAACCTGCTTAGGTGGGGTAAAAAAATAACCCTCCTATACATGCAATCTTACAACCCCGCCATCCTAGGGTGCACTTTCTCAAGATTATTGAATGGTCGCTAAGCACGTAAACAAGAGAAATGCTGGCAAACCACGTCTACGCTCAGTTGCTGCTCTTGCTGCAACCTTCAGTGTTGTGGCTTTCCTTTGTTACCTTTAATAATTATGTGAAGCCACCCGGCGCCAAAGTAAATTTTGCGCGAATTTGATGTATCACGAATCGGACCCCGACTAGCCTGGGTTACCACACCTTGAAACGTTGACATGGCAAAATTTGACCCCGGCTCAGAGGGTTAGCCGGTGTAGCAGACCAGGCTACCCACCTTGAAGGGTCACCCCACCTATCATGTAAACGTGATCAAATTAAAATGAGAGATTATATGGACGGGCGGGTTACCCCACCTAAGTGGGTTACCATGCCAACCTGAGGTTCCCTCCTCCATGTAAACAGGCCGTAAAAGTTAGCCCGGCCCTCTTTCTACAGTTTCAGCAGTTTGAGTCAATCTTGTACCACTTGAGTCTCACTTTTACGACTTGATAAGCTGTTATTATTTTTGGACATGAGTGCTTCAGTGCCAAATGTAGAGGCTTCATGATAAACTGTGCTGTTTTTTGAAGCTTGGGCTAACTTGTTTCTTTTTTCGTTTATGAGACCAGATTCTTTTTTGTTTGTTTTTGCTTTGTAAAGCTTAGACAAACTGCGGGAATTGTAAATGATATGACTGGGGCCATGATGCTTGCTTCTCTCTCAAAACATGCACGTGCGTCCAGCAGATGAAGAGAGACTGATAGGCATCCAGGCCTATGTTAAGCTGATAAATTAATTACCTCCTCAGGAAAGAACTATTTTGGGTTCTGTCATTTCGTTATTTGCTCTTCATGAACAGCTGTCATAAATCCCTGATAATATGTGATACAACAGACTCTCTGACAATTTCTTTTTTCTGAAATTTTGTGTGTGAATCGCTATGCCATACGCTTTCTTCAGCTTAAAGTGACATGTAATAACAAGTAATACCTGATAAATAAGGCTTAAGCCACACAATAAGGCCTGCTCTAATTGAAAGACATTAGAAAAGAAGAAGAGAACCCCAGAAGCTGAGTACTTGCAAGTTATGAAGCAAAGACGAGGCCATCTTAGAAATGACTTATGAAAATGTGGGCGGACTGTGCACTTGCTTTAAGGGCAAAGTAATAATCAACTTAATGATACAATCAATAGACTAATAATGGATGGGAATGTCAGATGTTCGAGTGAAATTGTTGTTTACAACATGAGAAGAGTATTCTGAGTGATTTAAGGTATTAAATAACAATTTTCAATCAAAACACCACAGGGACCCGGCAGGTGAAATTTAGAATAATTAAATCCTGTTTAGCACGCTTCAGTGGCATATTTGCATTGGGCACCCCCTCTAATATTCCTGGTACTGCAATAGGCTATCGCTGTACAAAGTTTGGTGCTTTTGTCAACTCTGTAACGATCCTGACCTTAAGAGACCTGACTAAAGAGGTACTTGCCGCCAAGGGAGCCTTCTTTTACACGCGTGATCAAATTACGTTTTGTGCATTCCATTCATTCTTGGTGGAAGTCCAAACGAGTGCCATTCTCGTCCCCAGAGCCACTCGGCTCGTTTCAAGACCACGTGACCAAGAAACGACGAGCTCTGGTGACGAGAATGACCGAATGCTGGCTACATACATGCCACGCATGCTTAATAACTACCTGGAGATTAGGATTGCGGGCTCCTTTCTTATGTCGACGATGTAATTTTCTTTTTTCTGATTCGTACATTTTTATTCTTATTAGTTTTAAGAGGCTATAGAATTTAGTGCTTGTTATATTTTATATCTTCTTTAACAATTAGGTAAAGTATGTTTTGTAATAATTTTAGATTGTTATTATACTCTTGTTTGCTTGTAAATAATTAATTTTTCAGGGTTCCCATTTATTGATAATAGAGTCTGCCACTGACTCTGACGGGATTTCCCTGAACAAATAAAAGTTGTTCTCTTTGGCTTGATCAATCTCTCTCATTTTTCAGCTTACAGGTTAAATTTTGACCAATTGTCAAAACCTCTTTCCCGGAAGACTGTCACCCTCCCCATCCCTATTTTTCTTAATTTATTTCTTGTCCATAATGAAGCTACAGTAGGTCACGCTATTAGAAGTAACTTACGATCACAGAATTGACTGAAAAGTAAAATTGTTCAGTTGCTTCGATCAAATTGTGGAAGAACTTGGTAAACTTGAAAGGCAAAAAGGAGCTCCACAGAGATCAGTATAAAACGCGGATCGCGGACTGCGGATTACCGACTGCGAACTGAGTAAAAATATCGACTGGGTCACATGCACTGGGTATAAAACACTCATTACGGTGATTACGGACTGACTTTCAAAACCGGTTCGTTCTAGGAAGGTAAAAATGAGATAAAACGATTGCGCATCAGTACTCACGTTGTACTCCGAGCAAAGCCTACAATGCAAGCAGAGCCGTCTGCCAGCATTCAGCGGCGTTTCTATGACAAAAATCTTGGTCAAGTAAGACATACACCAAAAAATTGCGTCATTAAAAAACATGGCGGAACACGGAGCATATTCTCCTAGTCCAAGAACGCCATCTGCCTTTCATCAGAGAAGCTCCCATTCACGTTCAGCGTCATGGTCGTACACATCAGGAAATGGGCAAATCACTATAACACCTTTAAACCCGATCAGATCGGTTATTCGTGAGTTTGTTCCCAGTTTCGGCCATCGAAGTCCAACTTCCCTATCGTCTACTAGTTCTCCTCTTTCTCCTCTCTCGCCTTCGACTTACGTTAACATAGCGGAGGTTCTGAGAGACGAAAACGATGTAGAAGACATAGAATCGAGCAGGGTCTCCCCATTTACCGCTGTAAATAACAATTCAGGAAACTCAAGCGATGGAGATGCCGAAAGTGGCGATGCCAATATGGCCGCCGGGAATTCTAGTGGTGCTAATGGAAACGGTCGTTCTGCTGGAGATAGAGTCGAGTTTCAAGGCACGATAAACTGGATTGAAAAGAGTTTACCTTTTGTCCTGTTGCTGCTAAGCAGAATTATGTGGGACCATCGATTAGGTAGGTGTTATTAAGGTTTAAAAATGACCTTGGTTAATCTTCGGATTAAAGTACAACAACAACAACAACAATAATGATAATGATTAGGACAATAATAACAATAAGATAATAATAGTAATAATAATAATAATAATAATTCCTTGTGAAACGAGCGAGGCTCCACGTATGCATCATTTATAGTGGCCTGCATAGTCCGGTGGCCCTTATATATTTCTATGTGTATGTTGTGGTTCAGTTTTATCCCGGTTCAAATTTTGTTTTCCTTTGTTTCAAACTCATTATCATACATTACCATACCCAAACACAAAGGAAAATAAAATTTAAACCAAGGATGAAATTGAACCACAACATATATATCTGATGGTGTCTCCAATGACATCATCAGTACAAGCGACAAATGTGTGGGCATTGTTGTTACTGTTTTTGCGACCATTTTAGCAATAAAAAATGCTTTGGGAAAATAAACTTCAATGGCAAAAGTATTTCAAAGAGATCCTTGAATCAGTTTGGACCAGTTGTTTCAAAATCAGAGGAAAATTAGCTTGGTGCTTTGCCTGCCAATGAAACATAAACTTGTTTCAGCTCTGTTCAACTGCTGTACAGGGTTTCAGATGACTTTCAGGCAACTTGACCTTGAGGCATCACAACACTGTAGGAAAGAAAATTAACATACATGTATGGGTAAAAGAAATTTGAGTCCTAATCATGACTGTTACTAGTAATTAAGGAATTCAATGTTTTTCAGGGGTGTGCTCTTTGGTGACTAGAAAATCTTAGTCTTTTCATACAAATGATATGCAGCTGGGCACCCTAGTTTTTGCAGGTCCAGGGCACTGGGCTCCCTTTAATTTCCTTAGAGCACAGCCTTGTTTTTTTGATATACAATATATCCTTCCTTTTCAGGTATTTTGGTGTTTATTGGTTTGTGTGGTACATTTCTTCATGCTAACAGTACTGTTAAAAGACAAGTGTCTCTAAAGGTATTTATTTAAATGACTACATACTTTGAATTTTGTTTCCAAAAAAAGGAAACACTTCAGCAACATTATGGGCATGTTTTATCAAATTTTTGTTGTTCCACAATAAGCTGGTGCAGGTCCAGACTGATTTTCATTAATAATTGTTTTCTTTTTTACTAAAAAGTTAGATGTAAACAACACTTTATCACTGACAGTGTGTTTCTCAGGCCATATCAGAAGCTTGCACCTTTCGCTCATACCATGATATTTAAAAAATAGTTGCATTTTACTCATACAAATGAGTTCATATACATGTACAAGATTATGGAGTGCAGGTGGGTTTTTCACCAAATCAGACCTCCTGTCGGTTGTTTCTCAGTGCTAAACCTGGTTCACAGCAAGACACATTTTGAGTCAATTTCAAAAAGTCAAGAACTCTTCAATCACTTGTTGGTCATTTCCTTTTTCCTTGTGACCTTTAACATTATTTGACTGACCAGTGTAACTGTTTAAAATGTGAATGTTACGTTGTAAGTTAAATGTTAGCCATTCTTGGAATTTATAAGTTTAATGTAGATTTCAGCCTGTGAACAGATTTGCAGTATTTTTTGCTTCACTAGACCTACATTTCTTATCATAACATTATTTCTTTGATCATTTTAGGATAGACGTCTTAATCGAGTCTCTCTGTGGACCTTTGTTTTTCTTTCCGGAAACGTCTTTTTTATTTACTATGTGTTCTATAACAACCATCTAGAAAACTGGTAAGAAACCACAGAAACGAATGTTGGTGTATTTAGGTTATGTTTTGGTCAAATCAAAGCTCAAACATCCCCCCACCCCAGGCAATCTCCAGGCATTTGAACTTTTGAAAATTAGTGTTTTCAAAATTCTCCACTACACCTGAGCCAAAACTTCTGTTATACAAGTACGTCCATTTTAGGTTATCAAATGTTGCCACCTCAGGGACATTAGAAGGGGACCATGTTACTCTTTTAAATATAAATGTAATTTTCACCATGTTGGCCTCCGCAATGACTTATTAAGTCCCTTGCAAGGCTAATTAATAATTAATTCATTGTTTCAATGACTATACTCGTGCACTAATTGGAAAGTTATTTTTTGTCATTGAGGCAACTAAGAGACACTCAACCTTACAAACGCAGCCTGTTATCTGAAAAAGTGGAACCTACAAATGGGTCCCTAATACAATACAATACAATACAATAACTTTATTTAAAGAGGGAAGCGCAATAACCTATTACAGTTTTCTAACCTACGGCCCTCAAAAAAATAGATAAATAGATAAATAAATTTAGAAGACTAAAAACAAATAAATTTGTAAATATATATATATACGGTACACAAAAGAGACAATATGTAAAGTAGAATAGGCTATAAGCACGTAATGAATAATATATAAATCGACGAAGGGGGGCAAAATAATGACTCAGGTCTGCACCCCAATCAACTGGTGTTGTATGACACACCCACTCCAACATGCCCCTTTTTTACACATCCTCAGCCCCATTAGCAATCATGACCTAAAGTTTGGTTTTTTCCTTGTAAGTTTGATTTTCAGAAAGCCATTATTCAATAGAATGGATGTCTGGACTGTGTTTTGGTGTGTTGGAATAACAGGTGACATACACTGTAATTTTATTTATTCAAATACACTGTTGCAATAATACTGGATGACTTTTCATGCTCAGTAATCAGGGTTTTTTGATTACTTCCATTTTGTTTCCAACTGACCCAGCTAAGGTTACTTCTTATCTATCAATAATTTTATTGTCTGGAGTTGTGCGTTGCTACATCTGTGATTAAAACAGTAATGATGGTAAAATATTTTTAATAACACCAGAGTTACATTTTAGAGTTTTTGAATGGTTACCCTGCCCATAGCATTCATGTATGGCTGCCATGATTGACGGCTCAATTATAGCAGTGAAATGGTTTAAAGAGTTGTAAAGCTAGGATAAATAAAAATAAATAAATGTATATACTATGCAAACAGCTACAATGTTTTTGTTTGTTTGTTTGTTTAGTTGTTTTATTAAACAGGATATAAGTCGTCTGGGTAAGACGGGAAGCAATTTCTTTGTTATGGCGCAATATGCTTTCCTCACATAGGAATGTTTTCATTTTCTCGCAGAGAATGTGTTGTTATAAGGAAGTTGGTTAGAAAACAAGGGATCAATTTACATGCTGCCTTGTGAAGATTTCGTAAAATTTGATGCTTATTAACCAATAAAAAGTGTAGTAGAAACAACAGTAAAGTTAGCATTTTTTTTGTTGTTGTTTTTTTTTTTGCAATCCGACATGTTCATTGCGTTACTTTGTTTCTTTCCTTGTTATCTGGACCATAACTTTGTCTGGCCCATTACTTTATTTGGCCATAGTTATTAAAGTGGAATGGTCTCCTCTACTAACTATGATTTGACTAATATGCAACATGTCAGTGATCAATTTACAAAATGCAAATGTGGTTGTCAGCCTCTATAGTTGTTCTTTTGTTCTTCTCTTAGTTAATTTTATGCTCTCCAGTTGTGGTAAATGAGAAGATTCTTTGAATGAAAACTAATACCTAACCATTACTTGCTGTCATGGTTGATTACAGATTTTGTGACTCGATTCATCACGATGGCTCTTAAGTCGATGGTGGTTATTCAGCATAGAAGAATAATTCCATTTAGAAAAAGGGTAAGAAATGATAATTGCGTCTATATATTACAGATATTCTTCTAGGCACTCCCAGTCTCCAATAACCCCCCCCCCCCACCCCCACCGCCCACAGGGTTTCCAGGTATCCCCTCTCCTTAAATAGGAATATGGTTCTTGAAGAACCACTTAATCAATTTGCTGCATGTCCACTGGTGTGCCACCCAATCGTTATTTAGTAAATTACAATGTATGCTATTTCGTAACTTACGTGTAAATCTTCGCATGGCTTCCTACTGTTGAACAGTTATGACAGCTAGATTTTTGCGGGAGCAACATTCGTCTATAGGGCAGAGCTACCCTACTGAAATAGAGGTTTCTATCTATAGTCTGTTCCCTTTCATTTTTATCGGTATTGAACCCCACCAAATCAAGATAGGTTATACTGAATCGGCTTCCATCATGTGAGTGGTATTGTTCTGTAAAACTTCCTATTGATGCTTTTGTTCACACCGTGCAATGTATTTTCTCACTCACAGGGCAAGTTTTATCTTTTAATTGAGAATTTTTCCCAGTTATACCGCATGTTGGTGCCCATTCCACTGTGGTTCGCCTTTTTCACGGAGTACAACTATGGTGGCGAATACTTTGCTATCATAGCAACAACAATATACTTAATTCTCAAGGTAAGTCTACTGCGTTCTTTTCAGCCTCACGTAGCCTGAGAAAACAGCCAACATTTTCACCACCACTGGTTTCCATGCGAAATGACATCTCAGTTTCGGGTTCAGAAACTCCATCTGGGCACAGGTAACCCAGGCTCACTGTTTGTGTCTCGTACGGGTTTCATAACATGGGTAAATATAGAGAACATATGGGGCGAAGTTTAGGTCTGGAAATTTGCTAGAAAATGGAAATATAAATCGATGAAAATTACCATGTGGCGAGTTGTTGTTGTCCTTAATAGGGACTTTAAGATCCAACGACGCCACGGCAATGAGAACATCGCTTAAAAAGTGAATTTGCGTTCTTTCAGTCTATATCGCAATTATTCCTACCCCCAAATGTAGGCGAACCGTCCTGGAGTTGAATTCCTAGGCACCAAATCTAAGTACAGTAAGAGAAATAAAATTTCGTCGTTGCTTGTTTACGTCATCCGTAAAACGCGAAATCAGGCATGTTCACGTCGTGGTCGTGCAAAAACGGGCAGAGAAATGTACAAAAAACCATGGTGCACGTGCAAAGTTGTTGTTTTGCTAATCAAACCTATTGTTTTTTTGACGTTCTCGTTACCGTGCACGAAGTGTCGGGAAAAATAGTCGCCTTCACCTTTCCTTCATGTACACTTTTTATGTAAGAACGTCCATTTTTCGAGTTGAGCCCGGACCGTTCCTATTTTCTGGGCAGTTTCAGCCTGGAAATGTTCTTAAATTTCAATAACTTACAGTAAATATATTATTGACCATACGCAATAGGAATGTGTTGAAAGAAAAGACAAAATTTTACGTGCACTTTGATTCCATGTAGGATATTATGTAATTCAGACTTTCTGGATTTAGGCCCGGGGATTTAGGAAAGTAAAATCAGTGACAAATAGATTGTTCAGTCTTCTCTGAGCCTATGTCCTTAGCATCTTCTTAATATTTTGGCAAATTTCTGGCTGAACGTTTTTTTAAAAAAGGTTCTTACATAAAAAAAAGAGTGTACTCGGATTTCGGGATGGATGGAATGAAGCCATGAATCAGTGAAGTTGTTGATAGTCCAGTATTACCCTCAATTAACGTCGTGAAGCACACTCAGAGATGAAAATGGTATTTTTTGTTGCATTTCTGTCCATTAAGAAGAAATCTCCCTTTTTATCCAGTACCAGCAATATCTTAATACGTCCTTTTCTTTCCAAAGGGTCGTATGATTATAGGAAAACTGCAAGAGGTGTACTCCGCCTGCAAAGTGTTTGGACACGATGTGGTATGTCTCAAGTTTCTTTCATCTTATTGTGGCTAGAAAAAAATCCCTGCAAACACCATATGTAGTGATTAGAAATGATTAGTTACAGCGGTATTTACTCAGATGTGAAACGAAAGCCCCCAAATTCAAAACGCGGACAATGCCATGTGGAGCTTACACTCGGGAATTGTCATCAGATACAAAGTAAACCAGAACGTATGGGAACTATACGAAATAAGCCGGGACTTAAGCTGTCACGCAATTCTGACAAAATAACATGGACTACTATACTGATGCAAACACCTGTAATACACTGTACACTGACTGGCTTTGCATTGCAAATTCATCTTGCAAGGCATCTGTAGGTGAAAGGGAAAGCAAGGAAGATAATAAACCTAAATAAAAAACAAATCAAACCATGCTAACGTTATTTAGAGAGAGTGACACTTGACAGTTACAAGACCTCTTAAAGCTGTGGTCCTCTAAGTGTACCCAACGAGAGACATTTTCTAGATCGAACTGGGATTGGACATGGGTTTAAGGAGGGAGACCTCTTGTCTTGAGGAGAGGGGAGCCGGATAACCTGAAGAGAAACCTTTCGGAGCAAGATAGAGAACCGACACATATGGCGTCGCCGCCAGGACTTGAACCCAGGCCACATTGGTGGGAGGCGAGTGCTCATCATCCCTGTTTCCCCAATAGCATGTATGGGCACGTATTTTGCTGAGTCCCTGAGAACACAAAAGTGTAGGGTAGGTGAAGGGGTCTGATATCTGATTGCACCTGTTGATAACAGCCGTGATTGGTAGCTCTTTTCTGATCTTTGCTTGAATTTAAAAAAGGGGCTGACTGCTAACTCTCCCAATCCCTATTCTTTCTTCTTTTCACAGCAATATGGCTCACCGCCCTCGAAAGAAGAGATAGTAGAAGCCGGAAATTCGTGTCCAATCTGCCAAGAGGACCTCAAGGATCCCATCAAACTTCGGGCGTGTAAGGTGCGGCGTTGATGGAGATTTCCTCAAAATTGATTACTTGTCGTCTGTTTCTTTTGTCGCTTTAGGGTAACCTCTATTAGCTATGTTTATGAGCCTCTTGCCTAGTCACGTTAACAACGGTCAGCAGACCGGCGCTCTCCCGACTGAGCTAACCTGTGTCTCTATCTTTCATTTATTTATTTATTGTTTTTAGCATATATTTTGCGAAGACTGCATATCGCTGTGGTTTGACCGAGAGCGTACCTGTCCCATGTGCCGAGCCAAGGTTGTGGCTGATCCCAAGTGGAGAGATGGCAACACTGCAACCTACGTTATCCTATTTTAAATTCTCACTTTCCCGTCGCCTTAAAGTAAAAAAATAGTAATTACAAAGTACAAGGCTTGGGTCAAGAGAGGATTGGTTTGGCGAGGTAGTAATGTGTAGAAACGGCCCGTGGGTGGGGGGGGGACCTTCATTCATTTCCATGAATCATTTCGTTTAAACTGACATCATAAGGTTAGATTTTTGGACTGAAAGAATTGTTGGCACCAAACGTGTAGACCGCACATCTCCAACCTTAGCGTTGTTTACATGTAAAAGCTTGCTGTCCAAAAAGACACCCTGTTCCAGGCGCTAAATAGTAAAATTCTATATTCTGATTAAGACTTAAGACCCTGGGAAACATGACCCGTTCAGCGGCACATAGCCTTTTAGGTCAAATAAGGGAGTGACCCTCCCTTCTCCTCCCCCCCGGAAATAAAAGGACCATCTGTTTGGTTGTAAGTCTGCAGATGTAGGTAGGAATAGTAAATTGCTGCTGTTTGTCAATGTTGGTAACAGCCGCACATACCCGTTGAGGTCAACTAAAGGAGTGACCCTCCGGAAGTAAAAGTATCAGCTGTTTGGTTATGAGACTCCAGACGAAAGATGTACGTAAGGATAGTTAATTACAGCTGCTTGTCGATGTTGGTACTCGGCATGTTAAACCATTATCATTTAGGATTTAAAATAGTAGATAAAATATGAAATGCGGATGTTCATATAAAGTATTTTTATGATTATCTCAGTTACAGTGAATCATTTACCCCATATTCAAAAAGCAAATAGTGGAGGGTCGTCCGTGATTGTACAGAATATTTAGAAGAGTCGTTCGGTGGTTTTGTTGTAAATCGTTATATTGTTTAAATAAAGATATATACATATATATACGAACTATGTAATTCAATTGTACCCGACCCAAACAAATTAGGGAACTCAAGATCCGAGGCTGGTAGCAGCGTCGAAAACGTCGGCCTAAAAGTGAATTTGCGTTCTTTAAATCTTTATGGCAGTTACTTCAACTCACTTTGCCAAATGTAGACGAACTCTCCTGGAGTTGAATTCCTATGAACCATATCCAAGTTCAAAAAGAGAAAGAAAATTTTACGTCCTCCATACAACGTGAAACCAGGTATTTTCACGTCGTAGTCGTGAAATAACAGCAGCGAAATGTACAAGAAAGTGTAATGCACGTGCAAAGTTGTTGTTTTGCTTATCCCGTCCTTTTTTTTCCTGGTTTGGTCTACCGTCCACATGTGTCCGTCGGGTGAAAACAGTCATCGAAAACGCCTCTTCTCAAAAACGCTCCCCAGTGGAGATTTCTGAAAACGCCGTTTTGCTCTACTCGTGTGGATGGATGAAGCATGAAAACACGAGTTCTTTTGAAAACGATAACGTCACGATGTTGGTTACCAGTAAGTGCGCATGCTCCCATCACAGATGGTACAGTTTTCAGTCCCTAGGGACCTTAAGATCCGATGACGGCGACGGCAGTGAAAACGTCGCTGAAGAAGTAAATTCGCGTTCTTTCAATCTTCATCGCGATTACTCCAAGTCACTAACTTTGTCAAATGTATTCGAAGCCTCCTAAAGTTGAATTCCTAAGAACCATATCCAAGTTCAGAAAGAAAGAGGAAATCTCGTCGTCGCTTGTGTACTTCCTCTGTACATCGTGAAATTAGGCATTTTCATGTCGTAGTCGTGCAGTGACGGTAAAGAAATGTACAAAAAAGCGTGATGCACGTGCAAAATTGTTGCTTTGCTAATTAAACCTTTTGCTTTTGTGGCGTTCCCGTTGCCTTCGTCGGATCTTAAGGTCCCTGCTATTGCGCTTGTGGACGGGCAAAACTATTCAAAAACGCAACGAGTGGACGCGGACTTTTTTTCTCCGTTTTAAAAAAAAAATGGATACGTGTGGACGGGGCTAACCTGCGATCAGGCGATTTTTTTTTTTTTTGGCGGCCAAAAAAAAAAAAAAAAATTCGCCTGATCGCAGGTTAGGACGGGACCTAAGGTCCCTACCATCGGAACCAGTCATTAAGAGTAAAAGTGTATCCTTCCTCGCGCGCCCGTGGCGTTCTCGCGTGTGTTAGTTGTCCCTTTTCCTTCCGGTTCACACTTCTACGCGGGAACGTGATATGATCACCCACCAGAGACAACACGTTTAACTAAACATAATTCATGATTACAAGTTGTTGGGACTGGAGCATACAAAATGGTCGTCAAAGTGACGCCAGGAGGCTAGATACAGGTAAATATGAACAGGAGCGGGAGAAAACTGGCAGGTAGTAGATGTGACTGTCCCAGATAATAAGAAAGTGTAAAAAGAAAAAGATTTGTAAAAAAAATCCAAAATAATTTAAGAAGTTGAACAATCAGGAATTATTTAAGGACCTGGATTTACGCTTTTCCAAACGGGAGGCAATAACTCCAAAGAAATTGAGGCAAAAACCACATATACTCTTCTTTTCCCCAACGAGAGAAGAGCATTCTTAAAAGGCACCATTGTCTTTGCCGTGTCCGACAATCAAAATTTCAGTTCAGAAGTAGGCGACTTAAAATAGGCTGGAGGTTCAATTTAGAGTTCTGGCTCCTAAACTCTGTCCCAAATATACAACAAATCTGAGGAGAGAGGTTTTGAAACTGATGTGGTGGTACTGGCCTGTTATGCGAGTATACGTCACCGAGCCTGACAATACAACCACCTCTCAAGTATGACTCACTGCGCTTGGGACGTTTCGGGTAGCGATAAGAGTCGGCTATATTCCCAGGACAAGCTATACTGATATTATCTATCTTTTAAAAGGTGAGTAGCGCTATCCACCGGATAAATTATCCACCTTTTGAACAGCCGGGGGCCTGTTTGGCCTGTTATGGGAAGTACTAGAGCCACTCCCTAACGGCTCAAAGAAAATACCCCGTGACTAGCTCCTTGGGAAGTGGAGTAAAGGGATGGAGAGCTACGCGGGACTATCCCCTCCCCCTTCCAAGCTCATCGCTTTTTTTCTCGTTCCTCACCAACAAACGCCCGTTCCTCGCTCCCTTTCTTGTCGTCCTGTCTCGCCTTCTCTTCGTCCTTGGCTTTCTACCACTAGTAGAAAGCCTGTCTATTACATTAATGCCTAATATACAATAAAATTATATGTACATTGTATAAATAAATAAATAATCTAAAAATTGCATCCCGAATTGGATTCAGACCCATTCTTGAAAACCCAGTTGAGTCAGGAGAAACGAAAGTTATCTTCTCCCGACCCCACTGACTGCCCCTGAGTCTCCGAGACCCTGACCTCCATCAAATTGCAGGGACTAGTCTGTTCCAGGTTCTCAGATAGTGGGGATGACGCGAAAGTGAAAGGCCCTGCGAAAATATTAGCGCGTGATCTGCGGAAAAGGGGCGGTGGTGAAAGGGAGAACCGCCCTTCCCCTCCCCACTTTCCTCCCGTTTTATTTTCGCGTTCGCGTTGTTACAGTGATATAGGCATCCCCATTCCCAAAAACATAGTGATGTGGGCATCCCCTTCTCATATTAAGTTAGCGATTTGGGTTAGGGTTAGGGTTACAGGGGATGCCCATATCACTAGGGTTTCGGGAGTGGGGATGCCCATATGACATGCATATCACTGTGGCAGCGCTTTCTCAATTTCACAGACTCGACTATCTCGGAGCCAGGAGTGGCTAGTGGTGACCTTGACCATTTGCTGCCGGGTTCATATATTTGACACATTTTCTTGCGGGAACAAAGCGGTTTTAATACTCCCACGGGGGCAAGACAGACTTGTCTTGCCAGAGCGGGTGGCCAACAGGATTCGCTCCAACTTCCTCCCTCGCGGAGCCAGCCGTACAATATACTACAACTATAGGATCATTAAAGAAGCCTGTGTACAGACCGCCCCCACCCCCCCTTCTCAGTAATGAGGGGAAAACCTAAAAAAAATCGAAACCTCCTACAAAATGCAGGAGTCGAAAACATAAAAATAACGTTCAAAACTCCCCAGCAAATACAAAAGAAGGCACTTAAGATGATTCATGCGTGGGAGACATTTGATTCAGACATTAATGAACGTCATTTCTTCGTTAACGTTTAGTTCTGATAGACGTGTAAATGACAATATTAAAGGTGTGCAGTGAGCTACACAGTCGTGACACCGTCGGTCCCTTTAATGTCTAATGCGTAGTTTGCGGTGATATATAATAAAATCAAGTTGAACTTTGTGGACACTGAGTGGGGAAAAGGTAGTATTCGTCACCGCCACAGGACGAAAGAACTGAGGCGAAGGGAAGAAAATAGTAGTTAAAAATACTCATAAGAAATCTACTTTTATAAATTTGGACACATTTAGTTATAGAAATATACAGCGGCTTCACGTAGTTTGCTATTTTCATTCCGTAGTACAGTATAAAATAACGTCTAAAATTGCATTGTAACTGCATACTTCATCTTTAAGTAGCTATTAACTAACGTTTAGCAGCCACGTTACGAAGGTTAAGCTAAATTACAGAAAATAATTAAAGAAGTAGTTTATAATAACACGAAAAATGTTCATCTTAAGCATTCGTGTGCAACTTAAGAAAGCGAAATCAGCTACCCGAGTGTAGCTTTGTTACGAATGAAGGCCACATCACATATCGTGCCGATATCGAAAATAAGGTGGCTTTTCTTCACGTTAAATTTCGTTTTGTTCGAATCCGTTTCCGTTTCAAAGCTTGCAATATTAAGACGTTTATTTCCACTCCTTTACCTGTATTGTCGCTTTCAAAACAGAGCGACTTGATGTGTTTCCGAATGAGTTCTTACATGACCTTACATAACCAACTAAGAAAAAAAATGCTGTGTTGCTTTAATAAAAGACCTTTGTCACAAAGCAACCCCTCGCTAACTGGAAACGAAATATTGTAATTATGTTTTACTCCAAATTTGCATAATATTACAAAGACTGAGTTTTTCGTTGAGAGGTCAATATTTATCAACAGTCTGTTTAAAAAATGCGATTTTCATATGAGTCGATATGAGCCTCAACGGCTTAATTTTACACCAAAAAAGTAAACGCATTGAAAATAGAAGGTTGCAGCTAAAATAGTTTGTATAAAATTCGTTTTATTCTGCTAATTTTGCGTGAAAAGGAATAAAAATTAAACAAGTCATTTCCAACAGAGCAATACCTTTTTTTGCCCTGGGGGATTAAGCATATTGCTTATGTATCCAAATCAATTTACCATTATATACGAGGATTATACTTGATTTTTCATGTGTTATTCTTTCAACCAGAAAAAAACAGAACCTAAAACCGCCAAACAGGTGCTTAGGCACAATAAAAGAACTTCTAATTTTCTGTGTTATCTATGTTTGAGAAAAACGCTTGAATTTACTGATGCAGCATAAGAGTGATGAAAATTATAAGAGCATGGCAGATTATTTTAGCGGTGATTCTGAGGACTGGAATTGTACTGTACCTTTTAACATCATAATTCATTAATAATATACTTTTGCAGCGCATTCCGTTGAAAAACAAGCTTAAAATAGTCAATTCCGAGGACAGATGCCTGTAATTTTGCGGCGTAACCCTGTTTAGTCACAACTTAAAGATTGCCATCTCTGCACTAAGGTGATCAGTGCTAAAAATGGGAGAGGAGGTAGATAGACTCAGTCTGTGGGTTTCGTCCCAACTCATCGGAAGATAAGTGAATATTCATGAAGTTCTTCGAGGAGTGATTACAAACCAAGATAATCACATTATGGAGCAGTTCTTCCCCTTTTTTGTGTTATTGTTCGCTGAGGAAGAAGTTTTTACATTTGCGGGTTTTTTCTTCTTGTGTTTTTCTGCAGCTGTCCTCGCTTGAACAGCTTCCTCTAATAGCCGTCTCGGTGGCCTCTGATTTGTCGTATGAGCGTTTCCTATCCCCGCGTTAACACCTGAATTCCTGTTTTCTATTCTTTTCGCCCTGTAAGCTTGGCTTGTCGAGTCAGCAAGCATTTTCTTGTATTGCAAAATCTCCTTGGAGTCCCTACGCTTTCTCTCCTCTGGTAAATCGAGGAACGGGCTCTTCCGACCAGCTACTGGTGAATTTCGCGGGCTGTTCCGCGGAGAAGAGCGAGGACTTACAACAAGTCGATTGCATGAAGCGGCAACAGTGGACGTTATAGGATTCATTTCAAAAAAAATCGAAACCCTTTGACCACTATTCTCTTATTTTTGTTTCAGCGATTTCTTATGCAAATCTTACTTTCACACTCTGCAAAAGGTCCTTTCTTTGTCGTTCAATGAATATGCGTTGCAAACACTTGACTCGATATTGAAGCCTGCCTGTTCTCTTTTTCTTGTTTTCCTTGTGCCGACGATGCTCCTTTGCGCTGAAGCGACTTCCTCTTTGAATTTAAGACAATACCAACTATAATTTGCTCATAATCATGAATCACCCTGTTGCGCTTTGCAAGGTGTTTGATAACTACTCCTTTAAATTCATTGGACAGTCATGCACAGCCAAATGTCTTACAAGAATATTCGTGGCTCCTCAAACTGTGATTACCCACAACACTAAATCATGTTTTTGCCTAGCGGTAAGCGATTCGAATCGAAACAAACACAGTTTTTTTTAATACCGCACTTTAAATTTCCTTTTATGGTCGTAGGAGGGCGGTTAATCCTGTATTAGTTTTACCTGACGTTAAAATCGTAGTCAACTGCGACTAGGCGACGAAGGGTTTAAATTCATGCGTAAACGTCAGTTTAGCTTTTTTTGGTACAAACGGACATTCTAAAGTCAAATTAGCATTTTCTGATTCCAATCAAGTGTTAGAAACTCGTTTGCATTCAATAAACAGCTACTACGAAGAGCAATCCTGGAATATTATTTAGCTTTTAAATTATTCAAAGAGGAGATTCGAAATGAGGAAAATGGCGAATCATCGTGCATCAATTTGCGAGTGATATTTCCTGAATTAAAACGTTTTGGGAGCCAAGGTTTCGCTAATATTTGGTTTGAAAGTCAAGTGTCAACTCAGTTCCTTCCCCCAATGTGATCCATTGTGGTAGGAATAATTATTCATTTTGATAAACTGGAAAACAAATGAGGCTAGCAACGAATAGGAAGGCCAATATTAAACCAATCTATAGTCGACTTTAAACTAAGGTGCCGTAATTCTGCAAGGGAACAATAGACAAATAACCTTCAGTGTATGGTTTTTATTCGGGCCTTTTTATTTATCGACAAATTTCAAGAGATCAAGGAGTAATAGTAATAAATTTACGTCTTTTGTTTCGCAACAAAGGAAAATCCCCAACTCAAAGTGAAATTAATTTCAACATGGTAGAATCGCGGCAAAAATTGTGCACGAACAGGCTGAAAATCAAAGGCGAAAAAATAAGCTATATTTTAACCAACAAAACATGTTAAATTACACCAGGTGTCACAAATGAAAATCAGTGAAAGGAAACTAGAGGACTGGTTTAAACAGAGTTTAGTAACTTTCATTTGCGCAAAATTTGTCGTTGACATTAAACCACTAGGCAGCTTTTATGAAGCAAACAATTCTAAACCGTGTTTAACTAAACACCTTTAAAGCATTTTTAAGCTTTGGTGCGAATGGAGCACAAGTCAAACGCTAAACGTCTAGAGAAAACAAACGCACCAACAGACATAGAAAGAATTAAACCACGTCCACACTACGTGTTTCGTGTTACCATAATGCATGTAAAGCTCTGTCTCCGCCACACTGGCGTTTAAGCGTCGTTTTTCTTTAAGTCCAAACAAGCGTTTTCGCGTCGGTTTTCGCCGTTCATACAAATTCATCGACAAAGTATATCAAGCAGTGAACACATTTTCGTTTCCAGGTTCCTCTTAAAAGTATTTACTGCTCAGTCTGCATGTTCTGATAATTTGGTTTATAGTAACCATGGTAACAACTACAATTTTTATGCTTGGCAAAAATTGCGGCGATTGACAAGATTCATTTTGTTTGGGGTACTGATTAAGTTGAACTGTTTTTTAGTGTTGTAAGTGAATGCAAAGAAAGAAACCTGAAGACACTGTTCGAGCGTCATTTCGAAGAAAATACTGTACACCGATTACTGAGGTAACTATCTGTGACAATGTGAACTTGGCATGTTTCTGTTTGTTGGTTTTGTTGTTGTGGTTTTTGAGAGCAATAAAACGTCGTAGACCAGAACAAGTATTTATGATTTGACCAACAACTTTTTTCTTTTGACGCACATTTTGCCCGACATTTGGAATAAATTGGACTGAACGGATTTATTCATTAACTAATTTACTTCTCCTTTGATTCATTTGTATCAGATTTATTTTTTGCTTAAAAAAAGTACTACTCGATTACTCTATCCAAGTACTCGATCAAGAGCCCCGCAAGATCTACCGTGAATACACAGAGTTAACCAAGTCGTGTTTGAACCGCAAAATTGCCGGAAGACTGGGGCATCCCTGATTTTCATCTACTCCGACAGGAGGAAGCCAGGAAGGGAGAACCCAGAATGAAGACTGAGAGTGAGACTTGATTGAGACTTGCAGCCTCGTTTTCGCCTTGGCCCCAGTTCCCAAGGTCAAGGTCAAGGTCACACTGTGATCTTGGCTGTGCCCCTGAGGCCCTGGTGATTCCGTGATCAGGATTGACAGTTTTCAGACAGTTAACGTCGAAAATTTGGATGTAAATTTTCTACTCTCTCCAAAGTTGTTGTTTAGGGGAATTTTAATTGGTTTTGTTATTTTTTTTTATAGCGTAATAAGATTATTTTGGATGTTGCTGTTGTTACTGTTTATAGACAATTTAATTTTTCGTTCTCTCCGACGGCGCTGAAAACACTGGAAAATAAAAACGGTGAATACGTGGCAGCAACTTTACCCTCGAAAAAATCGATTGAAATTTGAAGTTTTGGTTTTTGAGGAGAGGGGGAAAGCGGAGTACCAGGAAAAAAAACCTCAAGAAGCAAGAACCAACAACAAGCCATCACATATGGGGTCGACTCCTTTTAAGACTTCAGGAGGTATACAATGCAAACATACAAAGTAGACTGCCAGTAATTACATATTCTCGCATAAATATCTATACTGAGAGAAAAGAAAGAGAATGCTCAAGCGCAGTCTTAGCACTTAGTAAAAAAAAAAAACAAGAAAGTGTGAGCCAAGTATAATGCGCGTGCGCGGCTTCAAAAATGTTGGGAGAGCTGTGAAAACGGATCCAAAATTGTTGCGCTACGCTTCGGTGATCACAGAACAAAAGAAATGTTGGGAGTTGTTGGCTCAAAAGTTTGACCGGTTTCAAACTTTGCGCAACAACTCACAACAACATGCAACAGGGTGTGCAAACGGACGCAACATGTAACATCCAACAATGTTGCGTCCGTTTGCACGAGGCTTAACGCCATGTCTGGAGCGAGCTTAGTACTGAGTTCAGCCTGTCGTGCTTCATGCCAGGACGAAATTTTGAAGCTGCAGCCGATAACAATCAAACAAATTATATGCCGGTCTGGTAGCCTTTATTTGGAATGAAAAAGAGAGCTATTTGTTCAGAAAAGCTACATTTATAGACATTAAACACATCATCCAGATAACAGCGCATTTGACAACACTACATATCAACTCAAACAAAACTGATTGGGCCGTACTTGGTACCACCCACTTATCGCCGTGTCCTTCAGTCAGACCTCACTTTTCACCGTCCCTTCTAAGTGCGTCCGGCTTTTCAGCTGCTTTGTGACGTCACCTTACTACACATCCGGGCTACTAACCCTGACAACTGCAGCAAGCTATTAACTCCTTCCACTATTCTCATGTGTGTGTATCCAATTTCCTGCAAGACGACATCAAATAGGTTGCTTTCTGAGTCTTGCGCTCATTCTTTCGTTGTTTGTTTTCTGTTGTCTCACTGTCTCTCTCTGTTGTATTTGGGCAGCCATTTTGATATTTTCTGGGAACTATCCACGTAAATATTGCACAAAGTGTTTTGTTGTTGCTATTTTTTGCTTTGCTTTGTTTTGTTTTTCTTTTCCGGCCACCAATATTTTGTCTAGAAACCATTTTATTTAAGGTCGCCAAAAAGTGACTTTGAAAAAAAAGTTGTGAGCCCAGGGCACTGGGATCTGATAAAATGGCTTCAGTTTTGAAGAATCGTAGTTTTCATTAGCAAATTTTGCGCAATTTTTGCTAAGCCATATATATACATATATAAAAAGTTTAAAACTCGTTCAAGTTTTCGTGGCCATTTTGGCTATGTTCTTGAGTTAACTTTAAAACTACGGAGGGTCGCCTTCTGTTGAAAAAAAACTTACCTTGATGAATTCTAGCTTGAGGTACTCTGACATATCGTAATTTTTGCAAACGCGGAAGATATTCGTTATGATGTCCTCAGCAGCGTAACCCATGTACCAGAGATGTGCAAGAACCTTATAAGCTTCGTCTACATCACCGCTGGTGCATGATTTAATCATTTCCCGAATGAGAAGAGGGTGGGGCTCGTCACAAACCTACAAAGACAAAACAGGACCGTGGTTACCCTGAAAGCAACAGGCCATCTTCGAGTTCCAAAAACCCTCACTTTTTAAACGAGGCCAAAAGCAAAACCTTTCTTGTGAAATTTGCGCGAGAATAAAAAATCATTTTCATATCGATTCAATGGTTTTTCACTTAGCCTTGCTTAACTTAACTTTATTATTCCATCACTCATATAGTACAAACTCAGTAAAGCCAAAGCCGGGGGCTTATACGGCCTGTGGTCAGAATGACAGAAAGTATTTTATATAGAAATGAAGACTGTAGGCTAAACTACAAAACTAAAACAAGATACAAAACTGAAATTAAATAAGTTTACATGCATGCAGTCCTCCTCTGCGCGCGAGCGATCTGTGAAGTACTGGGGCTGCTCTCGTGCACCGCTTGCTACTTGCGCGTGACGCCGTTGCCACTCGTGGCTCTCAAAGAACCTTCATGCAGCATAACCCTAACAACTTGAAGGACCCGACCAACATGTAATATTCAGAACATTTCAGTCTTACCTTAAAGACGTTTTCACTGTTGACAAATCCAAATCCGTAGAATGTTGACTGAAGGTTATTTATGGCCTGAGGGAACAAATTAGAAACTAATACATTACTTTATCGGACAGCTTAAACTTGAACTGATAATTGCTCCAGTGGAGAATGACAAGAAGCAAGACTTTAAAGGCGAGATAATAAAGAACAGAAGTACTCTCTTTTTAAATAACACAAACATGAAAAAATGTAGCCATGTAGGTGTGACGTTTTTCTTGCCTCCAAATCCACCATCCTCCAAATTAACTCAAATTGCCACAGACGCTGTTGAAACTTAGTGCTCTACTTTAAGTATCTTCGAGGGAAAAGGTCTGATTGTCAAGAATAAGACAATTACTATTGCTTTAAATCTGTAACTGAGATGGGAAAAACCCTGACTGGTTTTCTGTTGCTATTTCTTAGACCCGTCAAAACGTCAATTTGTCAATCTATTGTTCTAGCTCGCTCATCTCTCATCATGTTCAGCAGACCCTAGTCCTTGAAAACAACTAAGGAACCAAGTTTCTTGCATGCTTAATTTGTGCACTCTGTGTAAGTTAGAGCTCATTTCAAGGAAATTGGATTTCAAGACAAACGCGTCACTTGTGCCCCTTTTTTTCCAGGTTATTCTCTATTTACTTTCCTGTTTGTTCATCTGTCTCACCTGTCTCATATCTCCTTGAGCGGTGAACACGATCGCCTCCATACCATCATCTGTTTTGGCAACCTAGCAGCGGAAAAATCAATCACTTTGTTGTCAAAATAGTTTACAAAATTACACACCCACCTTGACAAGCTGTGTACTTTTTTTGTCCCAGGAAGAAAAAAAAACTATATTTAGTTTGCAATTCAAGATGAAAAATACCAAAGAAATGTCTTTGACGTTATACAAAAACAGTTCTCACCTCTTCTTTTTCACAAACTTCTAACAATCTGTGTAACACCTGAGCATCTGTTAATCTTGAGTACCTCAAAACAGCACATCTTGATTGGATTGCCTCTGATTAAAATATTTTTTTAAAAAAACAAAATACAAAAAAAGTCAAATATCTTTTCATTATAGTGGTATCACTTGTAGAAGCTCAAAGCAGCCTTTGAAAAATTAAAACAATCCATGATGAGTTTCTGTGGAAATGAAAACTGAACGAAAAGAAATAAGTCATACTTCACTGACTTTGGTAAATATTATAACAAATATGGAATATGCTTATTCCTGGTTTTTAACTCAAGGATATGTGAGGCATACAGCATAAATTGCAATAAGGTTATTAAGGTTGCAATAAGGTTATTTTATTTATTTATTATTTTCATTGTTTTTGCACAAACGAGAATATAAACTGCAAAAATGCACAACTAAGCAAATAATTTATACTGACTACCCTTATTTGGCATTTAATCCACCATAAAATTCAATATCCACATAAAAATTCTCCAGACAGACCGCTGAGAATTAGTTCAGAAAACTGGATAAATGATCGAAGAATTTCCCTTTGGTGATCATGTTATTAATTCTCATACCTGTTTATCTTGATGATGTAAGGATATTGTTAGGAAAAAATTAAGCTGGTCATTCTTAGGAATTAAAGGGTTAATTCTATTTTGAAATTTGATTGTTCCTTTAGATAGTAAAACTTTGAAGCTCCTGTGAAGTATTAACGATGTACTGACTTGGCCACTACCCAGTTATTTGGGGGTAGGAATGGAGGTGGAGGGAAAAGCAGCCAAAGTACTCACCAATAATTTTATCTGAAGTATTGCAGGCTAATGCAAACCGTGTGGTTTTGGAATAGATTTCCATTGTCCTTCTAAGTGCCTGCTGCGCTCCATCTGTCATGCTAACACAAAAAAAACAGAGTAGCTCTTAATTATTGAACTAAATTCAAAATCTGCACTTACCAGTTCATTCTCTACACATAGACAAGAGCAACTGGCTGTTAATACTATTGTTTCACTGAATATTCTCAAACTCACTAATAATTCATAAAGAAAATACAAGGGAAATAAAGTTTAATGAGTGTTTGGAAATCAGATGAAAAACTGCCAAAGCTGTGCTCTAGCAAAAATTGAAGGGAGCCCAATGCTCTAAAACTGTAAAATCTAACGTGCCCAGCATATGATTTGTATGAAAAATCTAAGATTTTCTCGTTACCCGATGACAAAAGTTAGGCGCCAGGGGCCACTGGGCTCTGCTAGAGCACAGCCCTCACTGCTCATTTTTGCATCCTTAATTTCTCCTTCTAAAATCATTTTGTTTGAGAAGTAATATCAAGCATTCGACACAGGAAACACCTCAAAGTTTGTCAAAAATACTCTGCTGCAGTCATATTTTCAACTCTCTTCTCAGTGTTTCATCTGGTGATGAAACACTGTGTCTCATACTTGATTTATTACTTCAATAGTTTCCATGTTTGCCAGCTCTCACATTAAAAATTCTGGATGAAATCCTGTGGTGTTACCATTCATATCAAAGTACCTCTTTCTAAACTCTTTCTAAATTTTACATCTGAAAATTCACATGAATTTCAAATTTGAGTATTTAATAATAAAACTTGCATTAAGAATAAAGACAACTGTTAAATGACCTTTATCGAAACAAACCTGTCTGCCTCATCCAAAATTATTATTTTGTGTCTGCCTTTTGGTAAAGTTACTTTCTGTTGAGCGAACATCTTGATCTTGTTACGCACCACATCAATTCCTCTGCAATAATGTCAGAAGAAAATTTGTAAACAATACAATACCTTATGGATTAAGGATGATTTCAAGATCGATGATTTACTGTTAATGACAAATTTGTGTTAATCCTTAATCCAACCAAAGAATAGTTTAGGTTAGAATCAAGCTCCTTCACCTTTACTAAAAAAAATAGAAAAGGGGAAAATCTTAACCTTTGATGGTGGAATTCTAATTTTGTATTTGAGTATCCATTTTTGTCAGAATTCGACACAGAAGCCATGTTTCCCACCCCAGAACTTGCCTTCTTTCAGTGTTGTTGACCAGTATTAAAACAAGGAGACTTATGGGTACCACGGTATTGCAAAACCTAGTACTTGTAGCAGAAATAGCCTTAGACCAGTCATTGTAGTGGGGGAAAGAGGCAAAAAACAGAGTGAAACAGCGAAAAAATAAAAACTGGTGAGCAAAGTGAGCCACACAGTTGACTGGAGAGGGGAAAGCTTGGCTGCTGCCCAGGGTTATCATTAAGAGCCGGGGGCCGGGGGTTGGGGATTTTCCCCAGCTACTAAGAGAGTGCCCCCCGGCTACTTTTATTGGAAAATAGAAGAAAAATAGAACCAAAAGAAATCCCTAGCCGTTTGATTCCCCGCCTACTTGTTGTATTTACCCGGCAACTTGAAATCTTAGTGACAACCCTGCTGCCGCCCTTTTCCCTCGCCAGACTCCCACTTGGTGTGCTTCCCTCGTTATTATTTTTTTTTTGCCTTTTTCCACCACTGCAGAGCCTGGTCTCAGGCTATAGCAAAACCAGAAGGGCCCTTATTGGGAGCCATCACACCTCGTTTTGGGTTGTTCCAGGAGATGCCACTGTACATGTACTCCCTCACTAAGGTGATGGCTAGAAACTAGAGCAGAGAAAGTGACCCTGAGGTGGAAGCATCTCTAACGGAACACTTTTTATAATGAAGCTCCCCTTAAAAAATGTTTTTTTTTTCATCTGAGACCTTCCTACAATGTACAAGGCCCTTTCATCTGGTACACATACCTGTCATTAGATGCATTCAATTCAAGAACGGCATCTTTAAAAGATGTACCAAGTAGAGCTCTGGCCAGACATAGGATACTTGTTGTTTTTCCTGTACCAGGAGGACCCTGAAAATCAAATTTATCAACTTCCTTGATATAAAGAAGCTTTTTTAAAATATGTTTTAGAAACATAAAATCCAGCTCCGGTGTCTCAAAGAGTACGACAATAATTGTCAGTCCTCAACTCTCAATCACTTTTTCATTAGCTCTTCCACATCTGTAAACAGCTATTGTGTGACTTTTTTATAGCCAAAACCAAACATTCCTATACATGTACTTCTAAGTCTTCATCCTGTTTTCTCTCTAACAGTAGGTGAGTTGAAAAATAGACTTGTAAAGGCATTATTGTGCTACATTCATAAAATATATACTGTGTGATACATCTACCGTAAGTGCAAAATTCCTTGTTTCTGACAGAATGTTTTACTTACAGCAATAATAATGTTTGGAACATTTCCTTGCTCTGCAAAAACCTAAAAAAAGAAGAGTTTGCAATCATTGCAATTTCTAAGTAAAAAGACTGTGGAATGTTGCATATCATGTGATGTGGTACAGCTGTGCATGCATGAACCACAAGAGAAATGTAACAACAGAGGGAGAAAAATTTGAAACAGCTAATATTATGAGCAAAATGAGCATTAAACAAACTATTAAGGTGATTCCCTAGTAAAAGAACCTAACATAGATTGTAGATGAAACTTGGTACACTGAGGTAACAAGTCAAGAAGATGATAAAAAGGTAATAAAAAGTGGGGGTCACCGTGCTCGTTTTGACGTCACAATGCTGACAAATACGCCTATTTTGGACCCTTTGACAAAAACCGCGCGTAGCCCAAAACTAGACAAAAAGGAAAGATTTTTTCAATGATGCATGTGGTATCGCACAGAATTTGACTTTAATGTATTGTTTATCCACTTACGTACTAGAAAAATGCGTTTTAATGCCCTTGTTTTTACTTTACGCTCCAAAGTAGAATTAAATTGGACATGCGCTATTCGACACGTGATAGCTCAATCCGTACAATTTAGTAAAATTGCCAAAAAACTGAACACACATTTGAGCCAATTTTTTTCTCACCGAAAGGAAGCACTGTCCTTATTAAAATCATGAAATAAAAAATGGGGGTCACCGTACTCGTTTTTGCGGTAGAGCTGCAGAGAGTGCGCACCAAATGCAGTTTTCTTGATTTTTGAGTGAGGACTGGGGTGAGTTTAAAAAAAAAATGTATGCGAAAGGGGGAAGAAAGTATTAAAAAATCCGTTTTTACAGAATTTACATCGAGATATCACATTTAGGACACAATGTGATAAAGGAAGCGTTTAAATGAAAATCAAAGTGAATAAGCACAAATTAAACATTCACTATCGAGGTTCTCCGTGAGGAAGTCGAACTCAGCAACACGCCTACTGCTTACGTTATGCACATTCCCACCACATTGAGTCTCACCTCGGCAAGAAACAACCGCAAGCAAAAATTGCAATAGCGTTTCACTTCGGTGAACTTCATTTTAATAGTGTTACTTCACAAGCTCTTTTTTACGGAGGCCATCTTGTTATGCGCAGTAAGAGATGCGCAGTGCAAAACCAGGGAATCACCTTAAACCACCACAACAACACAACATTTACTGCACGACCACTACCTCTAAACGGCTGACAGTCTCCTCATTTCCTACAATTTCATGAAGTTTAGTTGGTCTGTATTTCTCAACCCTGACAGAGAACAGAGTATAGCAATCATCATGGTGTATGCTCTTATGACATGCACATAGCTCAAAAGTTGACGGAGTTAAGCATCTGTACTAACTGTGACTTGGGATTAAGCTTTTTCCCCTGAAAATTACAGTTCTACATGTATGGCCCAATCGTGAAGTGCACAAGCCATAAATTTAAGCAGAAGAAAGAGTTTCTGTAACTCACAATATCAACCAAGAAAAGGAAATTGGTCAGAAAAAAGGAGAATTCTTCTATCCTACTTTCTCTTCATGATATTTTGGGGTTTAAGTTAAGACTGAGAGGGTATCAAAGATTTCACCCTACATGCAGGCAAGACAGCCATTGATGATCAATGTGCATCAAATACTAAACCTCCAAACTCGTGGCTTTGAGTCATAAAAAAAACTACATGAAACAAACAGTTTTAACAATGTTTTGCTTTCACGAATAGTATCCAAAACAATCTTTTGAATTTCGTGGTCTGTAAAATAGGATACTGTCTGCTAAAGTGATCAGTCAAACTGTGCAAACTAATTAGAAGATATAAAAAACTCTCTAAGCCTTCACAGGACAACTTAACTCGCCCCCCACTTACTGCCGCGCTCTACTATCCGTTTCACTCCCAGAAGTAACTAAACTCAACATTTGACAATTTTAAAATCTGGTCAACCACACAATTTACGTGAAATAAACTCTCAAGCCCCAGGGAGGGAGACTCAGCCATCAATTCAGAATAGGTGAGAGCCAAAGAGGTTTACTTTAACTTTGAGTTGACCATAATATTTATTTAAGGGAAATATAATTGAAAATTGGCACCCATTTTAATTCTCAAAACCGGGGTTACAGCAAGTTCAGTGTACAATGGAATTAGTTTGGCTTTTACAAAATATGCTTTCCTTTTTACGTCGAGGATCAGAATCAAAACATGGCAAATTACAAGTTAAATTCGAAGCATAAGCTTACTAGTTTTCAAAGCCTCACAAATGAAGGGATTAAACAGTTTTCCAAAAAGTACACGCGAATGGGTAAATTTGTCGGCTAAATTTTCAAAATTATTTCGCGTGAAAAAAGTATGAAGAATAAATTTCCAAATAACGAACAAACAAGCAAGGGTTCATTCAAAGGATAATAAATTAATAATCATTCATGATCATAGATTGCACAAACATGTACGTTCGCTTACCATGGGAGTTCAAAACCTTTCGATTGTTTTCCGGAGCTAGTACTTGCACCAGATGATCCTTTAGCTTGTACTTTTTCTTTCTGTGGAATATCTACCTCCATCGCTGCGTCTTTTGATTTTTCAGAGCTTGTTGTGGTTGTCTCTACTTCCATTTCGTCCGCCATTTTGTTTTTTCGTCACGTGGACTAAATTTGGCGCCAAATCATGAACTGGGGCCCAATTTCCCGCGTACATAGTATCTTTTTTCCTCGAGACAATTTGATCATTTTTGCACGGAAAATTATTGTTTCAGGGGCACCCAACGAGAATATAGATCAAAACCGCTTAAACATAGCATTGTAAAACGTAATTTAGTTTTTAAACGGTAGATATAGGCATATTTTTATCCCCAAAAAATTTTTCATCAGTTCGGATTTCCTAGCTGAAAGTCAGGAGAAAGTCTAGTGATGCGAAAATTATAGGGATCAAAACTTAACTTTTCGAAAATTTCAGCCAGAAAAAAGGCTCCCGAAAATTCTAGGTGACCTTTTAAGGGTAAAAATCTGTTAAAAATGGGAAATTATACCATTTTTTAGATGTTAGAAAATCCTAGGAGAGGCAGGCAAGCAAGAAATTTTACAACAAATGTTCCGAAAATTCTAGATGTCAAATCGTCTTCCGAACAGATATTTTCTGAAAATTGTCGTTGGGTGCCCCTGTTTTTTTCTTAGAGAAATTAAAAAGTTGAACATTTTTTTTATGGTAAAATTTGACTTAAACTCAATGTTAAAAAGTAAAAAAGAATCAAATTTCTCCCTAGTACAGCTTGTATTTCTTCATTATCCGAGCATTTTAACGAACTTTTTACGAGTGACAGAGCATTTTAGTGACCAAAATAGAGCATTAAGATTGAGCATTTTAGCGGGGAAACAGAAGAGCACAACTTGAAATGTACCAAAGCCGACAAATTTCGAGATTTGAAGTGACAAATTTAAAACGCTTCCATTTGCTAAGGGAAAAGCCCTCGGAATGAGGTTGGAAGAAAGAAAGAAAGAAACGAAAGGGAAACGATCGCTTGAGCTGAGAAAGTGAAAGTTATAAACCCCGTGATAAGTCAGTGCATGCGTTTAGAACTGACTTGGGTACTGACATATGCTCAAAGGAAAGAATAAGCTTGGTCCTGAGCATGACAATCTGAAGAAATGAAACTATGCGGAGGAAAGGTTCGCCGACCTCGACTGTACGCTTCTCTATAATATTACAGAGTCAAACATGAGTTAATGCGAGCACGTGAACTGTGCTTTAAAAACACAGGCTTCCCTTTCTGTCGTCAAGAAAATGCATACTTGACGGTTTCATTGTATTTAAATAATCAAACCTTGTGATCATCGAAGCAAATCTGACGCACTTATAAATAATCAAAATCTAATCTGCAATAGTGTAAACAAAAAGTAAATTGCACCACAAAATATCTTAGTTTAGTTTTTGATTTTTAGCATTTATTCTTTTTACACAAGTGTTAATTTTCGTGTAAGACTAAATCTTGCTGAGCCATCCTCGGTGTAAAAACCTGTGAAACTCACGAGTGACGTAAAGCAATGAATACAAAGAAGCCACTGAGAAGTCAACACCATAGAGCCAAGGAAAATAATAGCTAGAAAACAAAGGAAAACTTCACAGGTTTTTACACCAAGGTAAACCCCATTCTTCTTTGGGGCTTAAGAACAATGCTCCCACACTTGTTAATTTATTCCAAACTACTATAATAAGCTTTTCGAGAACATAAAGATTACATACTTTTCCTTTCAAACACTAATGAGCTAGGGTATGAAAATGACTGTATTCACAGATCATTTACGGCTTAAGGGCTTATTCTCAAACGAATTCTATGAAATGAAAATGACCCTAATGAACCCGTGTTTAACATTGGAACCGAGTTTAATAACTATGTTCATTGAAGCGTTGCCCGGCAAGCCGAACAACGTTTCGAACATTTACGGCTGCATTTACAGGGGATTCGAAGACAGCATCCCGCAACAGCAGTGAAATCTCACAGAGGAGTAATGCGAAATGCCTCGAAATATTCATAATGGAGACCTTGACATGTCTTTGACGGTCACGAGTCCGCTCACTCAGGGAAGGCTACAAGGAGACGGATATTTCTCGCAGGAAACTTCAAGAAAAGTGCTTCCTGCGAATAAAACACCGAGAAAAACAAAAGCTCAACTTCATGAAAACTCATCTATTAAATTGCCTGTTCTCACAAGATCAAGGAAAACCTACAAGGAAGAAAACAAAAACTTGCAAGTTCTTTTGCGCGGGATACAATGCTTTAACCTAACTTATCAGAATTTATTGCCAGAAATGCCACATAAGTCAAGTCAGACCGAATCTTCTGCCACTCGTGACTCACATGTATGTTTGCTCGATGATAGCAGAGATATCACGCAAGAAAACGGTCCAAATTGCGATCAGAGCAGAGAAGAAAGTGTTCCGATTGATAAAGATGTTGAAAAAGAAAAGGACAATTTTTTGCCGCTTGTTTGTTCAATCCTAGAGGGTCAACGATTAAACATTCGCCAAAAAGAGGGCTTTCAAGCAAAGCGCAGTAAACAATTAAAATGTAAATCGACGGAAAAGGAAAAGAAACCGCCATGTCAGGCTGGTTCAACGTCTGAAGACTCTGACATTGAAAGTGTTTTAAAGAGATCTACACCGACAGATTCAGAAACATTTAGTTCCTCTATTCCGGGGGTAACTGAACACGTTAAGCCAAGCAAGGGAAATGCGCGACCGGTATTTCACATGCCGAGGGCCGATAAATACGATATCACACCAAGAAACATTATCAATAGCAAAACCTGTGCTGTGTTTAAAGAGAGCCATAAGCAGTCCTTATTCAAATCAAGTTACAAAGACAGCTGGATTCCTCGTAAGGACAGTTCATTCATCAGAAATTCCACCTTCAAAGCTATCATACAACAACCGGTTGTGTTTCTACGGCAACCATCTCCCGTGGCTGGGGTTAAAATGACTTTATTAAAAGAACACGAAGCTACTATAGCGGCAGCAATCCAGACTGTAAAGAAAAGAAACGTTCAAACTCCGTCTGTCGATGCAGAGGTTTCACCACATATAAAGAAGTTTGTGATTAGGCTGCCGCCGATATGCTAAAGGAACTTGCATTGAGTTGCTAGACGAGCTTTGTTATGATCTTCAAACAAAGTCGATTTCGTCAATTGTTGTGCTCTTCACGCCTCAAGAAATTATCAAATAAATGTAACCAAATTCTATAATCAATGCACAGGAAACACAAATCGGGCGGGTTTACTGCCTTTGTGAACATAGCGGAGTATATCAAAGAAGTGACTGAGCCTGGATGACAGCTGGGATTTACTAAAACGCGGAGCGAGCACGGGAAACGAGAAAATGAAAAATGGCCGAAACAAAACCTAATTTGAACCCTACCCCTATCAGTAACCTCCATGGTTCCGGCAATTCTCGGTTTTGTTCCCATTTTTCATTTCCCCGTTCGCCGTGCTCGTTTCCAGCTTCCCGCTCCCCGCTCCCCGCTCCCCGTTCCTCGTTTTAGTGACATCCGGGAAAGCTGACAGTTCTTTTATCTACCATCATACACTTTTCAGTATTTGCCAGTACCTTAATAGTCTGCTACACAGCCGTTTTTAGTGTCGTCACGCAACGCTCCTCCCCACAAACTAGTGGGGAGGAGCGTTGCGTGACGACCCTAAAAACGGCTGTGTAGCAGACGAGTTCCTTAACCGTCACTTTTTTAATAGAGAGATTACCGTAAATCCGCTATTAAGCTACCCTGGGTGCTAGAGGTTTTTTTCCTGTTGTTTGCGGCGAAAATTGAGCAGTGAATTCGCGATCGTGACGAGCGTTTTTTTTCGCCGCTCGTCACGATAGCGGCTTCGCCGCTCAATTTTCGCCGCAAACAACAGGAAAAAAAACCTCTGACACCCAGGGTACTATTAAGCCCCCTCGATGGCCTATTTATTTCAAGCACGTTTGAGGGGGGGGTCTTAATTGAGAGGGGTGGTCTATTTAGTTTAGCGAAACAGGACGCTATACTTCCTTTCAAACGACCAGAAGATGATATCAATTCTCCATATAAAGAGCTAAAAGGATACGAAGTTTGAGGCGTAGTATGTATGAATTGTGGTGAATAAACGATACCGGGTTAGTCCACATGAAGTGTTACAGTTAGCTGTACAGTAGTGATTCGTTGCTAATTAGAGAGGTGGAGCTTATTAAAAAGAGAGCGCCAAATCAAATGATTACGGTATGTCCTGTATTGTACGTGAAGAAGAAACTTTGCAGAATTTGGTCACGTGGTTTAATGCCACTTAGTAACGGCTCACTGGATGGCAAGCCATCCAAGTGTTCGTTCGGATCACAAAGCGTCGAGTCCGATCGAGCGAAGCATTTCAAGTTCAATCATTCTGTTGAAAATTAATGGTTTTATTCTCAATTAATAGTTAAGTATTATTCTGTTGAAAATTAATAATTTCTAGTTTACTTATTCTGTTGAAAGTTTATCGCTACATCAGTGAATCAAATTGAAGAATAAAAACAGTTCAGTCTCAATTCAATAAACGCAATGAAGGCGAAAATACTATCGTACTTCTCGGATTAGAGGAGTGAAGACACTCTGAAATTCGCATTCAGCAGTGTGGCCTAAATGGTTACACACAAAAAAAGAACCTCGGATAAGTCTAATTATTATTAATAACTTGTGTGGCTAGTTTCCCTTCGCGCACCCTATAGAAACTAACCGAAAAAACTAACTAGCGCCTGCCACGCAGGGTCAAGTCGTTTGGTGGCCTAGTAGGTCATCCCCTTATGAAGCTTGGCCAATTGGGGGAAGCCTTACAACAAATTTCTTTACTTGTCGAGTTAATTCAGTGTCAACAGGCGGGGATGCAGTCATATTTGCCTTAGTAGTTGCCGAATTTCCGTTATCTTTTAACACCATTGTCATGCCTGCAGCTTCATGCGATGGCTGCCTTAGAAGCAATGCTGGTCTTTGCATGATTGCTTTAAACACGGCGTTCTTGATGACGTCACGATCCCGGCGTGGAATCCAGCTATCGCTATAACCGGGATATATAATCAATGTTTTTAGAGCGTCTCCCTTGAATACTGAACAAACTTTGACTTCTACGACGGCTGGAGGGTGGATATCGTATTTATCAGCCTTTGGTAACTTAAATGATGGACGCCTATCGTCTTTTCGAGGGCATATTGACTTGATCATATCAGAACCTGATGTAAGCTTGCCTACCTTCCTCTCTGTCAAATTACGAGGTGTGACACGACATTTATTTCTTGTATGGAATTTATCAGACTTTGGAGACTGTGATAACTGTTGGCAAGCCCTTGAGTAACTCATATTCCAGGACTTGGAGCTCTCAGAGTCAGATTCGTGAGACGTCAAGTCGAAGTTGTTGTTTTCCTCCTGTTTCTTTCTCTCTTGTTTTTTGAAATCTTCTTTCCCCCGTAAATTCATTCGCCTTCCTTCTAAAACAGTGAAAGAAGAGAGTGACACGCTGTTATTCTTTTCTTTAGGCAAGGTATACAAGTCAGACTCCAAGGCTTCACTTCTAGCTTCGTTCGGGTTCTCACCGGTAGTAGACACTGGCGAATTCGTACTCGATGCATCCAATTCCGGTTTCAATCCGTGCACTTGAAGCGGAAATTCGAGGCATCGGACACGCAGAATAAACTGCAAATCATTACTGTCTTCATAAAGACTGTTCACTGTTCCTTTCTTTGCGAGAACAGGCAACTTAACCTCGGGCTTTTCAGATCGGTTTGTTTCCCCGACACTGGAGACTCCCACTTTTAACTTGGGTATTTTGGTCAAGAATTTCTCCCCATCGTTTTCTCCCCGATTTTGGGCAGGAAATGGACTCTTTCCAGTAATAGCTATATCTCTACTGACTGATTTAAGCATCCTGTCAGTCTTTCCCGCGTCACAATCAAAGCAATCTCTATGACTCACCGAGTGGGAAACGTACTAAAAAATGCTCCGAATTCGTAGAGTCAATCCACTTTATATCATGGATTAACGAACCACAGACCTTCAAAAACACGTTAAATCCGGCATTCAATGATCAAATAACTGTTCTAAAATCTCTCTTTGGCATTAGTCTGATAATTTCTTAATCGCTCTGTTTGTAAGCACATCTTAAAGCCGGACATATTACAGGGGGATAAATCTTTAACTTTTTAATATCAGGATTTGTATCTAACATAATGAGATGACCCTACAATGTTTTCATAGTCGTTTAGCAATGTTCCGTGGTGACAAAACTTGTCGTAATAATTTGCACCAAGCCTTAAGTCATTAAGAGCTCTTGCTTGTCCGTTTGGTATGGTATTTTTTTCATACTGCAAGGCCGGGAAATGCTGACAAGATCTTACTACTGTTACTAGCTGACTTGATAGCCTGTTCTTAAAAACCCTACCTTTCTGCGAAATAATAAACAAACAAAACAAAAAAAAGAAAGAAAGAAAGAAACAATACAACACAAAACATCAGCAACAAAAAAACTGCTTCCACTAGAATTTATCCACGCTTACAGTCAAGCTTCTCTGTTTTGTTGAAAGATTATATTAAGAGGTAAGATGCAATATAGTGCTACATATTTACATATTTCACATCTCCCCAGCACTTTTTTATTGAAATTTTTTGCTAAATTCCGCTTTTTCTATTTATATATTTTTTTTCGCTTGGTCTTGTGTACTCAATTTACATAAGTACCTAATATTAGCAAGTAATCTAAGAACTTCAACATACTAAAAGACTATTTATAAAATTAAGCTTGTTTGTTCATTTATAAATATTTATACTACTACATGAGAAATTGCTGCAATTTGATTGGGTTAGAGCAGTGGTATATTTCAGCTTAATCTGAAATACCTACATGTGAAAATTACAAACCGTTTGCGGGTAGTAGTATAAACAAATAATAGCCCGATTTGTACGTGAAATTTGGCATAACTATACCACTCGTAATATTTCAAAATTGCCTCAAATTTCACTCGCCAAACGGCTCGTGAAATTACGTATAACAATTTCGAAATATCACTCGTTGTATTTATGCCAAATATCACTACAAAACATGCTATTACCTACACAAGTAGTTGTAAAGGACGGGGTTTGAATTCCGGAAAATGCGATCGATGTAAATGTGCTTTCCTTTTTTATTAAGCTATATCCTTGACTTTTAGACAGCCCAGGCCGGATATTTACGTCTATTAGCGAGCATTTATGTTGTTTATGGCCGTATTCAACGTGGTCAGTAGCCTAACACAAAAAATTATTTTTCAAACAAAAACCAATAATCTTATACAGCTCAAGTTTACCCTTTACACTAATATAATACCCAACCGTACAAATTTGGTGGAAGGGCTGTAGCTAAGACATATTTATTCCATATTCTATGATTTTGCAGTTGGGAAATTCCTTCACCTTCTCATTAAGAGGCTGAAACTTTGGCAGCCGATTGAAAATCCTGGATTGGCTGGTCTCATCGACAGCCAAGATTATCGTCTGAATTCTTAAGGCAGATTTGTGTTTGCATCTGTTTTTCTTTCAGTTAAGGTATCATGTCAACCTGGAGCACTCTGCAGAACTAATAAAACTCTTTTGTTCCGCGTCCACTTCAAAAATTCCTACCAAAAAAATCGCGGTGATTTTAGTACATATGTAGCTATTGTAGATGTTGGCCTGTTCATTAGGGCCAATCAACTGGGCCGGCTGGCTTAGTTCCCCAGATATCGCTGCCGCCACTCTTTCCTCTGTAAAAAGTTTTTGATGTGTTCACGTGTATTAAATGCGAGCTATCCCAGTTACCGAGAACTCGGTATGCGGGCTAGAATTTTGCCATATGAACTTCAGCTCGACCACATATGCTCTGTTGGGATCGGACTAAGCCACTTAGTCGAACGTTACTGAAGGCAGGCAATATGTTTGATAAAGGCCGCACAAGGCTTACAGGGACTTTGTTAAAGCCCGGGTGTTAAAGATTAGGGGCCGGAGTAAAGCTTAATTGACACTGGCAGTGTCGTTGCAAAGGGTTTAAACTCGCTATATTTTTCCCGTCTATATTGTTGTATAGCGTACGATCTTGTACACGCTGACACTGGATTGAGACTTTAGAGGTTGCGCGGACAAAGTTCTTATTTCTTGCAAAGTCTTAAACCTTAATCTTGATTCTAAATGACTCTGATTCCACCAGACTGGCGAAGGTCGAAGTCTTTTGTGTCGTGATACGATATGAACACGTGCCCAGGAAGCATACACAGTCAGACAAGCGTTACTTAATTACCTGTTTAGATTAAACCACATTTCCCATCAATATCTACCACTTCTATGTCAGCACCCTTAAGTATATAAAAGGCAGTGATTTGCTGTACGTTTCTGAGGATTTTTCATCAATGTAATGAAGAGAATTTGAATTTCCTCCGACAGAGTCAAACGTTCTCCATTTTCGAGTTAAAGAATTTGAGATTAACTGAAGAGTTACGTATCTTTCATTAGGTGGTATTTTAACTCAAACCTGACTCTAAAAAGATTTCAATGAGTAATCTTCTTTACATCCCTTCAAAGCTAATTTCTGCAAAGACTGATTATTTTATGTTTATTTTAGCTTAAAACGCCTTGAAATTGCTTATTTATAGTTCATTCTTAAAACTCCCGTCAGCGGACACCGTCGAAGGGTACATACGGGGTGACCGTTTGACGGAGGTTCCACTGTGTCTGGCACAGGACGACTAATGCGAGATCTTTCTCTCACAGTTCAAATACAGCGGCGTACCGCTAAAAACTGAAATTTTTATAGGTATCCACAGTTTTCTTAAAATCAGCCCTCCTCCGTCTACCAAATCGTTTTCATTTTGGGGACTTCCGTGTAATTTTTTTTCTTTTTTATAATCGTGGAGAGGCAAGTAGTTATGCACTCTCTTGGCCTTAGGACCACGTTCTTCAGGTAGCAAGTACAGCCTTCGCGTGCGGAAGAATCAGTAACAAAAATGCGTTTGTATTCAGTTTTAGAAATAAATTAACAGGAAGATGTGAAAGCGGAGGCTCTTATTGGCCATCAGACCGTTCCTTTGCTTTGTTTTTATATATCTTCGACATCTTTATCAGGTAAGCACTTGCCCACTGGCGTATAGCACAGGCAGCCATGCACTTTCATGTTACAAGAACTGTCATATCATTTTTGCGATTCCCTCCAAAATTTTTGTAGCCGTACATGTCTAGCGTACAAATGCATGAGACTCTTATGAGAAATGATCTAAGTGATTTTTGTAATCACTTAGGCGCACGGAAAAAAAAACAACAACAACAAAATATCCGGCTTGGGGAAAATCACGTTCCTCAGAAGATTAGTTTGTACAGACAAAACGAGCCTGCCGACGGATTTAATAAATAATAAGAAAGAACGGAATTTAGGTTAACACGAATTATGGGATAAATTGATATTTTACTTGTCTAATTCTCGCAAATATTTGGCGACAATTAAGGTTTCTCAAGGTTGATGAAGAAACGAGGTGGCTGAAATGCAGAGGAATGATGGATATGCCTCCAACAGCCCGTGGTAGGATATATGTGAAGGGGAAGAGTGCTTTAAGCCCACAAAAAGAGGGTAAAACTGGAGAGGAAAACTCTGCGAAAATAATCCTACACGAGGTAAAGACCACGGTTGAAATATCGACATCAGGAAAAGAGAAACACGTTAGAAATTCCCAGCTAAATTTTCCTGATCTTTCACTAACATCACAAGGAGCGAAGGGCAACCAAGACCAGAGCGTCCTACCAGCTCTGTTATGCATACGTAGCCTTAATTTTTCTCCTCAATTGCTTCACATGTGGAATAAACCCAACAGTAGCTTGCCACCGTCGTCTCGTGGTTCTCGGAGTTCCAGGACGACTACGGAACAAGACAAGAAAGGTGCTTTTCATAATGAATGCGATCAGACCAACGATAAAGTAAGTTTAGAACATAAAAATAATATTTTGCCACATCTGCCTGTCTCCACTGTTCTGGATGGTCAGCGGGTTAAGATACGAAGTCCTCAAAGTTCCAAAAGTGGGACTGAGGAAAGCGAACAAGACAACAGAGGGACTAGAACTAAAAAGGTACAATTCAGTGTTGAAGACAGTAGTATCAAAACGACAAACAATACTTTGCCGCTTCTGTCTCTAACTACTACATTAAAGGGTAAGTGTCTGCTTTCACAAAGAAAACAAGGGTTAAATGAACAGCAGTATGAGGAAAAAAATGGCAACTACATAAAGCCTTCAGAACTGAACGAATGTGAAAAGAGAAAAACTTCAACTCCAAACGGGAAACACCAGACAACTATTAAAATGGCTTCCACAAAGACTGGTAAACAGATTACACGAACAGTATTTTACCTACCAAAGGCTGATAAATACGATATTACACCTGACGGAAAGTATACAAGCAGCAAAGTCTGCAGGGCTATAAAAGTGGAGGATCTGAAAGCGTCTTTAATCCGCTCAGACCGCAAAGACAGCTGGGTCCCTTCTGTCGACAAACAATTAATGAAATTTTCTGTGTTTAAAGCAATCATGCAACAACCCACCGTGTTCCTACGACAACCTTCACCGGTAAAGGGCCTGAAAATGCCCTTGTTGGACCAGGAGGCTTCTTTAGCGGCGGCCATTCAAGCCGTTAAGGAAACAAATGAACCTGCGTCCCCGGTGCCCGATGTTACTGAATTGACGAAGCAATTAAAGCACTTCGTGATAAAGTTACCACCGATATGCTGATGTTCCAGTTTGCAGCACACTCGGTTTTTTTTATTAAGTTACTCCATATGGAGCCAACAAACGAGCATGATCCTTGGAATCACATTAAAGACAGAACCATTTTTCACTTAAAGAGAGAGCTTTAACGCATACGTCAATTCAGCGCAGATACAAAACTTCACGAGCTGGCGCTGGCACTGCAGAGGGGTAAATTTGGTAGACTGTATTGTGTAATGTATTGAGCGGAATTCTAAAAGAGTGCTTTCATAAGAAGATATGAGGCGTTAATTTCAGGGATGACAGATTTTGCTCATTTAAACCATTATATCTTGCTGGTAAACTTTAAATTGCCAATTCTGCGCAATACATGACACACTAGTCTAGAGGTTTTGACCGACCATTTACTAATAAAACCACAGAGTGCTGTCTTCTATTCTTTCCGAAAACTTGGACACAAAATAACAATTTCTCAATTTCGTACAACTGTGGCTTAAAGCATCGCTGTAAAGCGCGATCCTCCAAATAAAAAACAACCCTCCTATATTTCCATCATATCTCTGTAAAATTTGATATAAATCACCTCTACAACAGTCGAGATATAAGCATTTTAAAGGATGTGGCACAAGCAAAATTTTGCCTTATGAATTTATTCATAGATAGGTGTCCCCCACGACCTTAAATGCAGTAAACAGTTTTTAAATTGGTAGAGGTGGTTACTTAAAGTAACGCCAAAAAATATAAGGCCGTTTAATCTTAAAGAAGTAGCATAAAAATCGCTTTAGAAAAACGTATGGTTACACAGTAGTAAACTATCAACATAATGAAAATATTTAACATAATTTAAACTGGTTTCATTTTTCATCCAAACACCGAATTTATTTATTTGTTTAAAAAACTATCATTTTTCATCCAGCAAAAAAAATAATCTGGTTTGCACTGAAATAATTTATTACATTTGTGTCTGAAAAAACCTATCACTTTCAAGGAATGGTACAAGATTTTTTGGATAGTTTGCACTGAAATAGGATCGTTTCAAAAAAAAAGCGTTAATCTTGGTTGGTTGCATTGAAACCATTGTATAGGTAATTCTGGATGCCGGAAAAAGCGTCAGAATTTTTTCTCCAAAAAAAATAATCTGGTTTGCATCGGTACAATTGTATAGGTTTCTGGCTGCCAAAGCGTCATTTTGGGGATCGTTTGGAATGGACAAGCGTTTTGGGGATCGTTTCATGATTGGTTAATTAATGTTGCCTTGAATACCATCGACCAGTCATAACTAACGCTTCCCAACGATCCCGGAAATCACAGTACCCAAAGCTTGCACCCATTCTCCCCAGAGTTTCTGAAGTGGTGGATGAAGTGACTGAGTAGGAAAGTGTTACATCACGTGAGTTCGCTCATCATTTGGGCGCACTAAATGTGTATATGTATGCTCTTCTTTGCGTCATTCAGACAGTAAAACATCAAAATTGTAAACTGTTTTAGCTTTCGACATTATTACTAACGTTTAAAAATATGAGAAATATCTAGTACGAAGGACGGAGGGCGTTTCCAAGAAAACGTACGAGAGCACTGCTTTTGCTATCCGTTCCTTAGCACGTTCCCCAAAACGATTCAACAGACCTGCCCGGAAGTGTAACCATTCAAATAATAGCTAATAACTGAAGGAAAGGGGTGGGCAGCCGATGCGAGCGACAAGCTGAGTTTAAAAAAAACCTTAATCCTTGTCTTCTCTCCTCGCCTCTCTCTAGCTTATCGGATTATTACGGTCTTAACGTCCGTCATCCACGTATAAGGTAAACATGGAAGTTTGCGTTTTTATGGACTTGAGTGAAATGGCCAAATGGGTAAGTGGCTAAATGGCTAATGATAGGCAAGACAGCCCATCTTGGTGATTTGAGTGGCCGATCAGACGACAGTATTTGCCTCAGCTAGACCTCCTCCGATAATTTCCTGGTTTTGCAGAAAGCGCGAACACCAAATGACTTAATACAAAGACTGAAAAGACGCTAAACCATACCTACACCACAACACAATATATAGGTACATAAGCAGCAATGAGGTTTCCGCGACACACAGATATACCCCCTCTCGCGGAGCCAGTCATATAATAGGGATAGATATTTCAAATAGAATTACCCAATTAAATCATAGTTCTGTGCTCACTAAGCGTATATCTTGTACAAATTCATCTCCCTTTGACGCTATCTTTGTTTACTTCTCGCTTTGCCACAGCCCCAAGATGCACCTCATCCGGCCCGTCCGCGAGGCGGAGAACACGAGCCCATGACCAAAACTGGGCCAGCGGTTGATCAGACGAAAGACCGGCTCCTCCAAATGCCTGTCAAAACGAGCCAATAGGGAGCTTAAACAAAGGCGTTTTTGAGCGACGCATTTCAACCGGAAGTGAGGTCTTTTTCATTTTAAATCACCTTGACGCTACCAAAAGTGTCTTTACTATTATCATAACTATGCTATTATAGAGACGATTTGTCCAATTATTTGGGCAAAACCACCGTCCAAAAGTGAAAAAAGACCACTTCTGGTTGACGTGAAAGAGTTAGAATGCTTATGTTACGCCAGAACGAGGACCGAAAGCAGAAATAGAAGCTCTACAACAAAACGTTCGTCAGAATTCCATACAGAATAGTATGGGAATGTTATCTTATTAGATGCCCAAGGTGTTCTTGGTATCACTGCAACATATTTTGCTATAGTTTCTTCACATCGGTGGAAAAAAATTGTAAATCATCACCAATAATTTAAATGGGACTTCTGAGCATTAACTTCCTGTAGTGCTGTTTATATAGTCCTCTTATGTTATAACTTTTGAGTCGGTGGACAAATTCCTAAAGTGTGAGAATTCACATAAAGCTACTGAACAGTACTTTGGTCTGGCACCAAAGGGCGTTTCCAGCTAAGGCTCGTGTATAAAACTGTTGGAGTTCCAGACAAACCTGCATGGCTCTATCCACGACATTCTGTGCCATCCGAGGGGCAACTATCTTAATCATGGCGATCTCAGGAGCAGCAGCCTAAAAAAAAAGAATGACAGACGCTGAAGGCATTTATACAGCCAGCCAAAGTGAAAGCAAAGGAACCTTGTACCGTTAAGACGGCAACCATTGCCTTTTCATTTTCAAATTGAAAAGTTGACGTTTCGAGCCGGCGTCAAAGCCAATGCATAACCTTCAGCTACCTTCGTCGGAGCGAATGAGCCTGCAAGCCATAATACGACTGAAGTAGCCTGTTCTAAGGCAAACACTCTTTTACAAGGGTATATGCAGTCAACCCTACGTTAAGTAGACCTATATTAGGAGGTCAGAGTCCCGGAAATCGTGTCCCTTAATTACTGTAAAACTGATCTGTTTCACTGAAGCGTTCACCTCTATAAAGCGGCCGCGGTCTTTCTATTTTTCACCCTATTAAACGGTCTCTTTCTCAATGAAGGCGTACCACACAAGTGCAATAGATAAACTGAGCGCGACATTAAGTGCTTATGGTCTTAGCTTTTACTCTCTTTCTTTTGGCACGAGAAGATCATGGATATTTTGCTTTGTTACCATCTTTATCTTGTTGATAAACTCTTAGGACTGTCAAACCTGTGTTAAACGGTCAACCTGTTTTAAGCAGTCATTTGGCCATTCCTAAAGGGCGTGACCGTATAAAGCAAGTTTGACTGTATAATGTTAAAGAAAAGCTGAAAGTTGAAACTCAATGCCAAATCGGACACTTGACATTATATGTTTTACAAGGCTAATTTTCATATTTTGTACTTGGGCGTGTCACTGTACCCCATTTCATGATATTACCTTGAACCTAATCAGATTCGTTATTTATATTTCTCAAAACTAAAAAACGCAATAAATAAATCAGCAAATAAAGCAAGTAGTATGCTCAATACTCGAACAACCTTTGAATAAAATACCTTATTTCCTACGGTATCCATTAGATGGGCAGCTTTGAGGGTCAGAAGTCTACAAAAATAATTTCAAGGTGTTACTGAATCAGGCAGAAGAAGGTCCTTGCATAAGATATATAGTCAAAGCACCTGCTTATTTTTGTTTTGCTGAGCCTGAAGGTCATCAATTTAACGTGTTCATACTGTACAGACATCCCTTTTACAAATAAAAATATATTTTAAAAGAAACCTTAAGTTTTCCGTTCTACGGGAGAAACATCTTGATCAGATACGGATGATCAAAAGACGACTTGGTTCATTATTACGTGAAGCCTCAGGATTATCTAATCTATGAACGTTTCTGCTCAAATGCAGCGCTGTAATAGTTGTACTATGAAAGAAGCTATGCGGAGAAAGTTGAAACTTGCGCAATTTCGATTTCGTAACTCGCGCAGACAACAGCAAAGCAAAGACAGACAAGCCAAAGCGCAGCAATGATTCGTATATAAGGGTCGGCTAAATATTAAAGTCGAAAAGCATGGTCCAAAATTAAAACAGCCAATTTTAGCTTACCATCATAGTAACACTAAACAATAAAGTGCTTTTCAGAAGTGTAATTTTCAAAGCGGGCTCTATGTTTAAGGTCTCATGGTAACAGAATTGCTTTAAAACCTACTACCTTAACTACATTCAAAATCTGTGTCATCTGAGTAGCTTGCATCGGCTTTAAAGACTCTAAACCTAAAACGAGAATTCTTTTCGCTGCTTCTTTTTGCCCTCTAATTAACAATAAGCGGCGTAGTCGCACCTTGCTTGTTCTATCTCTATTCTGGATTCTGCTATGTCTTGTAAAATACTTCCTTGCTGGACTAAAGGTTTTCCAAAAGCCACTCTACTTTTAACCTGCCAGTAAAGAAAAGAAAATGACGGTCGCTAGTGTTATTTGGGAGAACCAATTCGCGATTCGCAACACAACGCAAGGAGATGCCAATTTCAATAACGACACCAGTCCACTTAACACTTACTCTTTCAATCATCAGTTCCAGGGCCCTCTCTGCCTGCCCTATCAAGCGCATGCAATGATGAATACGGCCTGGACCCAAGCGACCCTGAAAACATAAAGAAAGCATCAACTTGAAACAAACAGTCGTCAGGTGGCTTCTAATAAGAGGGCGAAACAGGCTAATACACAAAGTAATATGTAATTAATCTACTAAAATCAAGCAAAAGAGGATTTAAGACAGCAACACAGCAACGAACACTACAGCTCAAGCGTCACAAAAATTTTGTTTTTATCAGCTGCGTTATAAGGTAAATTTGACAACGTACTTCAGCAATTCAGTTAATATAACCAGAGCTATTAACGAGATTCACCTGAGCGATCTCAAATCCCCTTCCGGGTCCCAGTAAAATGTTCTCTTTAGGAACTTGAACATCTTGGAAGAGTACCTCAGCATGCCCGCCTATAACATAAAAAAAACCATATAAATATACTGAAACTCTGCTTCATTATGGCTTTTCCCTGTCTTACACAAACCTTAGGGCCGCCTGGGAGCTCTCGGAACAGCTAACATGATTAGGCAAGAAAACAATAAACAGACGATAGAAATAATAGACCCTAGCTTAGAAGCCCTGAAACATTAGAGCTTCATCCCTAGAAGAACGAATTAAATTTTGAAAAACTACGTGCCAGCAGAAATCTTGATCTGCAACCACGTGACAAGGTGGCAATATTGGTTGTCAAAACAATACAACCTAGCGGAGGGAAACGCCCAACATGGCCGTTGTGACGTAAGCTATAAACCAGAAGTAAATAACAAATAATTTACTCTTAACAGCCGCTCGAAATCCTTGGCCAAAGAAAAAACACTACATAGAAAACATTCTCCGTCTCACGCTCTAAATAACAGAGTCAGGTAACAGCCAGGCATTATTATTGCGTTTGTATATTAAGGGCACAACTTACAAGGAGGGTCTTGGTATCCAAGAACAGACAAAGGTCGTAGCACAGTAACCCCAGGTGTATCCATAGGAACAAGTATCATAGCCTGCAATAATTGCGAGAAGCAAGTGTGTGTGTTTTTACAGATCAGTAAAGCCTTAGTCTCAGGTCTGCTAGACATTATTCTTTTTCCTTTATTTCCCCAAGGAATTCAACAACAGCGCACGAAAGAAGAAAATTCTATTTTCTCATGTACTCAAAATTCACCCTCTTGCGCTAGCGGCGTTTCTCTCAAGGGAATATATATAGGTCTGTGAACCGACTATTTTCGAAACTAACTGTAAAACACTATTAGACAAGAAAAGAACAAAGCTAAAAATAAATAGCTAGAAAAGCCCGATAGTAACGAGTTTCAATTCGGTCAAACCAACAGAAAAATTTTGCTTACCAAAACCCGTATGCAGGCATAAGTCACTTCAGTTAACCACCTTAAACTACAATTTATTGACAAATTTATAAAAATGAAAGTCTCATTTTTTTTTTTTTGACAAGCGACATTTCTGTTACTGATCAAACAATAACCAAGAATCAGTACCTGTTGTTTATGTTTGGGTGCCTCAGGATCGGTTTTTCCCATGAAAATACAGATCTTGCATCGAGGGTCCATGCCACCTACAAATGGTCAAAAATAAAACATCTAACGACATTCCAGCTACTATATAGACAAACGTTGGAAACATATTTCTGGGATCTGGAAATTAAAAGACCACGAAAACGACTAGCACAAGGAAATACGCGAAAAGGATGGGCTGTGCGATACCTTATGCTTGCGTGCCTAACGAGCGGCCCTCCCAGAAAGCCCATTTAATTACAAATGGCTTCTAGATAAACACTCTAACCCTAATGGGTGTGCCCAAATGGAAAGTCACCTGGAACCAACTTCTTTAAACCCTTTAAGCCCCAAGATCCACATACAAATTCTCCAGATTGCCTGCGAGCAAAGCTATCCGCGAGAAAACACGCGAGCTTTCCCCTGCGGCTCTCGCGTGAGTTCTCGCGGCAACTCTCCCAAATGGAGACCTTGCTCGCTGGCTAAAAGTAGACTGTAGGCTGGACAGTAAAAATCAGCAACTTCCTCTTCTTTAACCTGATGTCCACCACTTGTGTCCGTTGATGATATAATGATCACCATCCAGAATTATGGAAGATTCGATGTTAGTGGCATCTGATGACGCTACCTAAAAAAGAAAAACATCGGAATAAAAAGATATTACCCTAAGAAAAAAAGCCTGAGGAACAGAAGATTTAGCAACAGTAACCTTGTTAGACACTGTTGATAGCAACTATATAATATTCATGTAAGTATATTTAGTTAATGCCCTGCCTCCCTAGAGGAGATTTGCACTGCAAATATTTCATGCAGTTTTCTCCTTGATGAGGTATTTTTTTACAACGAAGGCGGAATTTTCAAAACGTTTTTGAGTAGGCGGAATTTTCTAATAAGTAGACGTTTCGTTCCAGAGAGAAACTATTCCTTGGTCTAAAAATTTTCATGGGGTAAGGAAGAGTACCTAGCGGCACAGTCAACGCAAAAGACAAGCCTTCCATCTGAGATAACTCTGTTCCGTGCTCACAGTTAGTCGACTCGCGAAAAAAAAACGAAAAATACGAAATAAATGATAAAAAACGGGCATGAAGTTTGTTTTAATTAGTACCTTTGGTTCTGTCATAGCAAAACAAGATCTGATTTTTCCGTCTAAAAGTGGATGTAGCCATTTATCCTGTGGAAAAAATAATAATAAAAGCAGGAAAAGTTCAGCTAAAATCAGAATTAAAGTCTATAAACATTACTGTTTGGTTATTCAGCTCACGTAACAATATGAAGAGATATAATTTTTTTCCATCAGAGGTGTTTGGGTATCATACCTTTTGTTCGTCTGTGCCGTATTTGATCAGTACCTCCATGTTACCAGTATCTGGCGCAGAACAATTGAACAGCTATCGAGGTTAAAAAAATATATATCAGGCTGCTTGTTTCTTCACATAAACCATTCGATAAGAAATCTTCGGTCAAATCGCTCTTCTCTTGTCAGTAATCAATCATATATACAATACAAAGAGGAGTAACGTAACTTTTTTAAACTTAGTATATATCATGGAATGTGATCAGCTGATGAAAACAAAGTCTGTACGGTTATTAAAATTATTACACGAACACAAACTATACGGCGAGCAAAGCAATACCCTAGCAGTAACCAGGCCTGACACAGGAGAAACATAAAAAGCTATGTTAAAACTGTCACGTTGTTCTTCTAACGAATTTCGTCTCCTTTGTTTTTTATCTCTCTCGATCTAACTCTTTCTCTGGTTAATATCTACGTCACTGTATAGACATACAATGTAATTAAAATTTAGTTGAAAACAAGCGTTGGTTCTGTTGTCTTTAGTTTGCTTTTTCTCTCTAAAAGTCCGGGTGGCCATGCGATTTACCGGCAAAACGCGCGGCTGCTTAAATACGAAATTTCGCTTCGGCTTACATGTACGGGTAGCGAAGTATGTGGTTTCGGTCGGTCACGTGACTACCAAATTTCCTCGCATGGATAGGTTTTCGTTTTCTACAGTAATGGAGGCTCTGCTGCGGGAGTTTCGCGCGCGAGAGCTCCGCTAGTTACATACCTCTGGTCCGTACACTGATCTTCCCATCACTTCACACAAGTACGCGTACTCCACGTTGGTTAGTCCAGCGCCATATTTCACATTAGGGTCTGCTTCAAGAGGAATGAACAGATTCCAAAGGCCGGCTAATCGGGCTTTTTCCTGTTAACAACAAATGAAGATCGCCGAGGTACTTAGCTTACAATTTGCAATCTTCTTTACTTAGCGTCATAGAGTACGCTTCCAACATAGCTCATCCGAGTAGTATGAAGAATGCCTGTAACAAGAAGCCTATAAGGTAAGGTGAGGAGGGCTTCTGGCGTAACACAATGAGAAATTCGTTTGGTCATTCGTTCACTCATTCGTTCGTTAGCAATTTTGTTATCTTGCTGTTGTGAAATTTATTGTTAGAACCGCAACAGCTGAAGTACGCAAGTCGACATTCCCAGTTTTCGTAGCGCTTTTAGATGACCAGGAGTTTACGCTCCTGATCTCAAACATTTAGTAAGACTTCCATGACGATGCCTTAGCAGCCATCCATTTACGTGAGTGTCTTTGAGAGACAATAGGGAGCTAACCACGTGATTGCCACACATTACCTTAATCTTTTCTAATAGTGGATGAGGTGTCCAGCAATGTTCAGAGGACTGGTGCCGGTTGAACTCAGCCTCATTAGGGTACACGTGCTCTTTCATAAAACCTGTCAGCTGCTGGTGCATTTGTTGCACGCGGGGCGAAAGAGACGTGATGTCAACAGGCAATGCACCTGCGAAAAAATACAAACAAGAAGAAACATTAATTAGCTTTGACCTGAAAAAAGAACTTGATGTCATCATACGACTTTTCACTGGCTGCTTGCTTTTGATTTGGGCGTCGCCCAAATAGAGTTTTCGTGATCGCTTGTTTTGAGCCAAAGTTGAAATAGGCACGGAATACGTGCGAAAGTAAACAAGCCAAGCTAAGCGAATGTCTACCACGCGAACGACTAGTACAATGTAAAAGGCATGCCGGAAAGAAAGCTCTGCTAGCACAGTATTTGATCCCACTTTTACGATCTCAAAAACCTTGCAACAAAGAAACACAATTCCCAACAGTGCGGGGATGAAGAAATTAAAAGCGACGAACCTGTTAAAGCAACGCAAGGTACTTAATATAAACAAACTTGTCTTTGTGGACAAAACTAATGTTGTGCGGTTGACTCTCTGTTAAAATGCTAGCTGAACAGTTCAATTGTCCATAAGCTCGGGTAAAAAATTGAAGGGGTAAACTGTCGTCTCCACATCACCAACAAGTTCATTACCCCTCTCTCTGTTGAAAATCGTCTTAACTTTCTCCCCTGTGCGTTCTTCGAGTTTCAACCACCAGAAACAAAAAAAGGTTATTACACTTGCTTTACCTGCAAGTGCTATTTCTTTTCTTTTCTTCTTTTTTTAAGAACGTAAGTAGCAGCTCTCTTTACCTAAAGTGGTTGTAGTCGAAGTGGAATACATTCTCTTTGAAGACTTGGTGCTTCCAGCATTACCACCCCCATTACCGGGCCTTGTTTCTTTACAAGCAAGTTTCCAACCGGTCTCAGCCATTGTCTCCGCAAGAATACCCACAGCTTTTGCATTTTCTGAACTGGCCTGGCCTGTTTGTATGATACAAATAAAAACTGATTATTGTTACTACAACTTTCCCAGATAAAAGGCGTTTGCCTTGAACTGAAAACAGTGCAAAAAGGTTCTGCGAGCGCGCGGTACCACGTGATGGCATTAAACTAGTTCATTCTACGGGGTATGTTTATCTAGTATTCGCCTTCCTAAACAAACAGAAAACAAGGTTTAAAAAAGATTTCCCGCAACACTTCAATCACACTACAACATTTGACGATTTGAACGGCGAGATGGAATAAGCACGATACAGGACAGGACTACAGGACTGTTTTCTCACCCTGCAGTGCTCTTTTGTAGACTCCTTGAAGAATGGCAGCCACACGGAAAAATGAAAATGCCATATAGAAGTTCCAGTTCTTGACGGCTGGGATCCCTGCGCGCTGACAGTACTCCTCCATGTACTGTGTATCTGTCGGAATGCCGAGAGAACTGGGTTCACGGTCAGCAAAGCCTTTTCAAATAAACAGCGCAATTAACATACGAAAATTTTGAGGGGAAAAAACGGGCATATCTAAGCAGAAGGCTCGATGAAGACTACGGAAAGTGACTCGAAAGAGAAACGGTCAACGCTGTTTTAAGGAACAAGTCATAACTACCTTGGATTTGGTCCCCGTCTTTCTTCATCAGCCAATTTGTTTGACTCTCCCATTCTTAGAGACCCAGAACAGGCAAACTTTCGTCAAACCGTTTTTTTCCAAACCCGAATGACTGCGACTGGAAAGTGCTATACAGTATGTATACGGTGTTATGCTTCATCGCAGTCAAATACATGTAATGGGAAGAAAGGTAAAAATTGAAATTTTGCTTTTAAGTTTGATTCAATTGTTACAGCCTCCTAGTAAAGTGAATGAGGTATTTTACCTTTTAATGCTGGGAAATTTGGAGGAAGATGATGAGGTAAGCAGTTGTAGGCCAAATCTGATAATGGATCGCCAAGCGTGGATAGCTCCCAGTCTAAAACAGCTATTACCTCAGGTTTTCTCTCGTCGAAAATTAAATTATCTAACCTGCAACAATTTGATAAATAATCATAAAGAGATATCCAGCGTAAAGAACAGTGGTTAATTAGAGGTGCAAATGAAATTCTCTGGTAAAAATGAACTTCCTCCGTGGAATTATGTCGAGTAGGAGCGTTGCATGACGGGACTACAGGAATTCTAAATTCCGTGTTACTTTATTGGCACGGAGGGAGATATTTTTTGCTTTGTTGTTTCCTTGTTTGGTTGATTCCTGATATTTTCCTCCCAGGGATCTGTTTTCTTCTAAAAAGCTGAATTACCCATAGAAAAAAACTATTTTGCCTCTCCCATATCAACACTCATTCTACTCAGACAAGACTGCATACACACAGCATGGATCAAGTATTTGTCGTGATCAGGTTTAAGCATTAATGTTCCACGGGTACAGTTAAGAAAAAAAGTACACTGAAGGCTGCGAGCTATCCAACCTATAATCCCCATGAACAACTGTTGTATTATCATCGGCAGGAATGTTATCTAAAAGCCACGCTATCAGTTGGTCCATTGCTGGAATGTCGTGGGTCTTACTGGCTTCGTACTGTTTGCCCCACCTTTCTGTTTGACGGCGTATGTAGTTTCCTGCAATACCACAAAATAGAGCGATTTTCGTATGACCATGAAAAATGGTTTCGGTAAGTGCTCGTTATCTGTTTTATCAGCCAATGAATGAAAAGATCAAAACAGGGCCCTTAAACCCTTAAATGGAAAAGGTATTGTTCGATTGGCCAATCGTGTTGCAGTATGACGTCAAAGCGAAGTATCGGTTGATTCTAGAAAGTTCTCGGGCATGAAGCTTTTTCACTCTAGCGTTCGCTTGACCAACCAAAAACCACGCGCGTTTTTGTATCCGTTCGATAAACCAATCAAATCGATCTATTTCCGTTCGTTTGTTCTTTCTGTTATGTTCGCGCGTTTGAATCCTTTCAAGGTCATGCTCCATTTGGAGGAGTCGCGGGAAGTCACAAGAGAGCCGCACTCGAAGTATATGGAGAGCTTGCTCGCAGGCTACCCGGCACCCGGCTGATTGGTTCACTAGGATGTGTCCGGGGTGGGAGGCACTCAAGGGAAGTTTGAGGAGAGATGTGCCGCTGAATTCTTCAAACCCTGGCCCTGTTTGAGACTAAAATCATTCATTTTGCTACCCTGTTTAAGGCAAGAGATCTTATCAATTTTATGACCCTAACTCGTTTCGTTTTGCATACAGAATTAAATAATTTTTCAAACTAACATCATGGAATCAAGACAGCTCATCGACACCGTTCACACTCGTTTAAAGGCTTCCGATGCAAAAAGACACCCCGTTCAAGACGCTAAAAACTTAGTGAAATTATACATCCTGTTTAACACGACTATAGACCTTCCGTACTAAACCCTCTTTAACGGCTCACATCTGTTACATCTGTTCAGACCAAATAAAGGAGTGCCCCTCGTGGGAAGGGGGGGGGGGGGGCAGTGCCGGTCCCCTTGACATGCTTACGGTCGCGTGTTCGAACCCTAGTCTGACTACCAGCCGGGGTCTTCAAATAACCCCTGGCGTTTTCTAAGTGTACAGCTGAAGACTACAATGGACCGCAAAGCTTACCTCTTTTTCCAAAGTCTCCCAAACCCACCACATCAATGTCAACATGGTGAATCCTATGAAGTGTCTCGTTCATTGCGTGATAAATTTCCTGCAAAAATTACAAAAAAACAACCAAAATGAAAAAGACGAGTCAAACATCATTCAAACCGGTCTTTGCAGAGTTAAAGAAAAAACATCATATTTTCTCCCCAAACAACAAACATACTCTTTTGGTGTATGCGTTTATCATCTTCACTAACATTGACGAGAAAAAAAAATGTCGGCGGTAAAGGCACACAGTTTCATTACGCGATGACCTGGTCCGGCAATGTATATGCTTTCGAATTCAAGGTCGCCAGAGCCTTAGTACAAATGAACATTTTTACGATCCTGAAATCTCGGTGAAGTCTGTTTGCAGGAACGCTAAGAAATATTCAAACGGACAGGCAAATAAGAACACTGTGGCGAAGTGCAGTTCAGTTGCAGCTCAGTGCGGGTCAGCCGAGCGGGAGGTCGCGAGTTCCAGCCCCGGCCGGACCAACACTCAGGGTCTTTAAATAACTGAGAAGAAAGTGTTCCCTTTGTAATGACATCTGCAAACGGTTGGACTTTCTAGTCTTCTAGGATAAGAACGAAAAACCGTGGGTCTATTCTTACAGCACTTTCACTGATCTGTTCTTGTGGGACGTAAAAGAACACACAACACTATTCGAAAAGAGTAGGCCAGGGATCGTAGACCCCGGTGGTGTGGCCAACCTTTACGAGTTGTGCGATTGGGTCGGGATGGCACCTCGCATGGGACCTGAGTCCCGTTCGTGCACATTCCCTCTGAGCAGGCTAGTGTCCAGAAAAGCTGGTAAACAAATAAATAAATAAATAAAATGCCACGAAATCGCTTGACATGACAGGGAACTTGTTCTTGATCTCTCCTCCTCAAAGGCTTCTTTGAGTCACCGACAGGCTAAGGAGAGGGGAAACAAAGAAAAATCCAGCGAGAGCCTCTGCTCTCGTTCGTCTCCAGCTCCCCACTTTTGACGTCCGTGCTTCTCGCTCAGCAATGGGAAAAAGCTTGGGGAGGAGGAAGCTCCTGCTTCAGAAGTGTCGGATCCAATTACGCTTCTAAACGAATGCAAACTTAGGTATTTATCTGTTTACGAACTTTATTACTCTGGAGAAAGTAATCATCAGTTTCAAATCGTTAAATAGTAGACGGAGGCACTAAAGGCAAAAATTTGTATGCGTTTTTACAAACAACGACGTCTACAATGGAACGTTTATACAAAAAACCCCTATATAACGAATTCTTCGATGTAACGAAAGTTCGTTGAAGCGAACATATTTTGCCAGTCCCTCGGCCCTTCGTTCCACTGTATTTGTTTTGAAAATGAATTGAATGAGCCCCTTCCCTACCCCCCCTCGGCGCACACTTTCAACTCTCACCTTCCTCTCCTCTGCTGTCATGCCGGGTAAAGATGGATCTTTGAACAAGCGTCCCCTGGCATACTCCATAACGTAGAACGGTGTCCCCAAAACACTACAGAGAGATCAACAACAAGTCACCTTCAGCAGCGAGGTTCGTGCGCAATCCAATGTTGGGACTGGGAGTTTCCGTGTGCTTTCCATTTACAAAAACAACTCGAGGAAAAATCTCGTGAACAATCATTCAACAGTTAAATTTGAACTGGTGGAAGATGGACTCGCGACAAAGTATATCCAAATCGCCTAGAGACACTGAACAGAATGCGGTTGCCGAACTTTAAAGGACAGCCGATATTCTCTGAAGCTTACAAAAAAATGGCCTAAACCATTTGATTTTCCAACAGGACTTTCCGTGAAACTTTGCAGAATATAGCAAGCTGTGCTCTTGAACTGTCAAATTTTGCACAAAATTCGCGGCTTCTTAAGGATAAACAGAGAGGAGGAGATAGTCATAACGAAGGGTATAGTGCACATTACGCTAAGGGTTAACACCGAGCAAACTCTTTTTCCCAAATTGTTATTTTATGCCTTATAACTGAACGCAAGTATTAAATGGAAGTCAATTCATGATTAGTTACTGATTTTACCTGCTATCTTCGCACAGTGCTATAGTTTTTGGAACAGGAACTCCAGCAGAACCAAGCGCCTTCATTACCCTACAAAAAGAAGCACTTTCGAATCACTTTCTTAGTTCAGAGAAGATCATCTTTATTTAACAGTGTGACATGTACGAAAACCAAGGCATTTATTCCATTCCACGCATAAAAGGAAATCTTTTAGGTACGTTTAACTCCCAGACAAGGAAAACAGAAAAAATAGAATTGAGGTATGTACGTTTTTAAATCAAAGCGAATGAGAATGGATGAGGCCTTTTACCTCAAGTTGATAACTTGTTTTTCAAAGACATCATTTTCCGTAAACGCTCGCATTCGCGCCGCAGCGCGTTTTTAGTTTTAGTTGTTGAGTGCACTAGAAGTGTGGTCACAGTATTTCATTCGTCAGAATTTCGGCCACGACATAGTGCGTCATTCTCAACTGATGAAACATGTCATACTATATCCATAAGATAAACCTACTGTATGCCGTATATTCGGTAAGGACGGCTGTCAAGGGCTTAGTGGGGTGGGGGATGCTTATTCGAATGAGGGGGGCAATTAGAGCATTTATGGTACTACTAAAAATGTCACAAGAGGTACAACAATTGTTGCGCCACGGGGAGAATCGATAGGTACATTTTATAGGCTTTCATTGGGCAGTGGGAATTCATATTTAAAAAATAAGGTAAGTTACGTTCGGATGTTAATGTTCTGAAATTACTTTCCAGCTGGAAGCTGTGTAAACTACAGTATGAATACCGTTCACTCTCGAGATAATCAGAATTACACATGAGCAGTGTTCATAACGTGGACAACGCTATCCAGCTGAAAAATCGCTATTCAGTGGATAACTATTAGGGTAAACAACTGTACTATCCACTGGAAAGAGAAGTGTCCATTGGATATCAACTAGAGCCTGCAAGCTAAACTCACTTGTATTCTCTCTCCACAGCATGCGCAGAGGGTAGAAGCTTCCCAGGCTATGATGTGAAACATGCGTGTTGTTAGATGGCCTGTACTGTGATGTTACACGAGATGATTCGCAACGACGATTTTTAGCGCAACACAGCGTTGCGACATTGTTTCGACAGTGTTTTGAATAGTTACAACATTGTTCCAACATTGCGACGCTGTGTTGCGCTAAAAATCGTCGTTGATCAAGAGTTCTCAAACTCATTAATAATTCATTAAGAAAATACAAAGAAAATTAATGTTTAATGAGTGTTTGGAAATCGGATGAAACATAGCCTGTGAACAGGCCTTTGGTCGAGCGGGGAATTATTCCCTTCCCTTTCCTTGCTATTTTTTTCCCCAGACAGAGAGCCTGTTCACAGGCTAGATGAAACACTGCTTAGTATTTGCATCCTTAATTTCTCCTTCAAAAATGATTTTGTTTGAGAAGAAATATCAAACATTCGACACAGTGTTTCATCACCAGATGAAACACCTCGAAGTTCGTCAAAAATACTCCGCTGCGCGTCGTATTTTCAACTCTCTTCTCGGCGTTTCATCTGGTGATGAAACACTGCATCTCATGTTTGATATATTACATCAAGATTCAAGTTTACGCCAAACGGCAAACGTGAATTTGTACCAAGTGACCAAGTTTTTCCCTTAATTGTCGTTTACTGCTTATTACTTCTACTCAAAAATAAGTAGTTTCACGCCAGTTTTATCCATAAGCATTGTTATTACTTTGAGTTAGCGGGAGGTCCAAGTTATTGAGGGTTCGAGTTACCGAGGGTAGAATTACAGTAAATGTACAAAGGAAATCCAGGGGAATTAAAAATCGACTTTGGTTCGAGTTATCCGGAGTCAACTGTGGGTCATTCCGGATAAATTATAAATAACGTTCGCAACCGACCTGACGTACATGTGTAACTTCAGAAAATAACATTAGGCCAATACAACACAACCAGTGGCCAAAAGACCATTACCGACGTCTTTAACCAGAAGCATATAACCCCCCATTAAAGCACTTACGGGTTTTTTCCTGATCACTAGTCTTTGCCCTCCATACTCCACATAGTACGTAGGATTGGACTGGCCATGTTTAAACTGTCGAATGATGGGAGACTCTGAAAGTTATCAATAGCAAACTGAATAAATCTGACTCAGAGGGGACACAAAAAAAGTTACCTTATCGGTACTTAATTTCGCGTTTTTTTTTTCGCGATTGCACAAAAATGGCGAAATTAAAGACCCGCGAATTTAAATCTTCGTGAAATTTACGCACGCAAAAATTTTAATATCCTTGTAGAAACACAGAAAAATTTATTAACATGTCACGAGCAACAACGTATACAGTCCTGATATGCATCGACAAATACGCAAATTGTTTACTTGTTTACTGCTATCTTCAGTTCTGAAATAACGTTAATTTGCAAAGATTTCACACATTGCTTGTTCCGGTTTATCTAGAAATTTTTAATATTTTCAGACTTTTTGAAAACTAAAATGAAGTCGAGAGTGCGAAGTCGCGAAATTTAATGCCCCTTTTCATATTTGGCTGTTGAAATCACGAAAATAACACCTAGCGAAATGCTGTCTCACCAAAATCGCGAAATTAAATGGATACCAGTGAGTTTGCCCCCTAGTGAATTAGCCCCCTACAAGTTCGCCCCCTACTTTCTAAGTTCACCATGGAATGGTGTAACTCCAAACTCTAGTTAAATCACACATTTACACATTTATTTAAAGCACACCTTTTAAGGTAATTACAGGTAACATTTCAAACCTTCAAGGCCTTGTACAGTAGATCTAAACAACCGTGAACTTTATGGCCTCCTCTCCTCTTGGCCACTCCCATGTTCAAATTTCTTAAGAGAGGAGATCATTGTACACTCCAATGTCCCAAAAGGTTAAATATTGGTGCGCTTTGTTCTAACGGCCATGTATAATTTATCAGTCATCAACCACGTGGAAAGTTGACAATTTGGGTAACTATAAGGAGTTACTGGAAAAATTAATGGTATTAAAAACAAACTTTTTAACCCTTTAAGCCCCAAAATCCACATACAAATTCTCCAAACTGATCTCTATACGTTTCCTTTAAGAATGAGTCAAGAGAATTTGATAAAAGATCAAAGTATTTTCTCTTAGGTGATCATTTTATTAATTCTCATAACCTCATCTCATGACAATGTATGGATGTCATTAGGAGAAAATTGCTCTTGGTCACTATTGGGACTTAAAGGGTTAATAATTGCTGTGGGCCGGAATGGAGGGACATGTGCATAGTTTTTGAAAATTATAATAATGGTCACCTTCTTGATGTAGCCCCACTTCATTTTGAAGATACCTTGTAAGAGAGTCAACAGGGATCTGGTGAACTTTACGAACTGCTGTAGTACCGGGAACATATCCTACAAAGCAAAGAAAATTTATTTTAAATCCTGGAGAAGTCAATGATCTGGTTGTCTACTGGCGGCCTCTAAACACTTTATCCCTATAAGTTTATAATTTGCTTGCCAAACTATTTTGCCAAAAGACTAAAATTGTCTGGAAATCTTAAACCCCAAGAAAGTACCAGTGGGACCAGGCTTTGGTGAGATCTAGGGTTAGTGTTAGTAACATTAGATAATGAACTGTTATCCTTCAGCTGTAAATTAAATTATTAATGTTTCACTTCACAATACAGGTCTTTTATACCACTTTTTAAACCTTTTTAAATACCTTTCAAAGGAAAATGCAGCAAATTCTCCAAATCACCCAAAGCAACCTTGACATCATCAACCTAATTCACAAATAAAAAGGTTTTTAAAATATCATGTAATAATGGCAAGAGGCACACATTGCTTTTCCTCCGAAGATCATAGTCTACCTTAATCACCTGGAAACCCAGGTGTTTAGCAGTCTTCACATTACTGCCAATATCATCAAGAAAAACCACCTCTGCAGGACCCAGTTTGAGTTGGTCAAGTAACTTGAGATAAATTGGTTCTTCTGGTTTCCGTATTCCCTCAATAGCTGACTCTACTACCTTGAGAATTAAGCACAAGAAAATTTTTCAGTGAAAACTTCATGATTTGTAATAATAAAATGCCATTGACAATTAAGTGGGATATAGGAGCAGGAGTTAATCAGTAATGATCACGGCAGAAACAGGGTGGTCTGACACAATGTATGTCATGGTTTTCCAGTGGGTAAGCTATAAGCCAATATTAGGCAAGTGGATTATCAGCAATTAAAGTGTTGGCTTGTATCACATGGAGCAAGCCCACTAATTCAGAGGGTTTGTTTAAAGGGTGAAAACCAGGATAAAAAATGCCAACAATATTATAAAAAATCTAGCTGTTTCATAATGTTTGTACTAGAAGAATTTGTATAATTTTTATGTTGTCACAGGTATACACTTGTCTAGCAGTGGCATATCTATGGGAGGGGCCTAGGGGGGTCACACCCGCATCTTGTTTTTAGAACAAACTCAAAGCCCGTATGGTCCAGAAAAAATAAAAAATAAATATATTTTTGAGATCAGCAGGCCCTTCATTTAGCTCAAAGTCTGGATCAGCCACTAACTAGCTTGCTAAAAGAAAAGTCGGATAACATGAATGATCAAATTAACAGTCAAAATAATGTTCAAAGTAATGGCCAGGGGTATAAAAGTTAGTCAATTCAAAAGTTTCTCACCACATCAAAATATTTCTTGTCAACTGGCAAAAACGATCTTCCCTCTTCCAACCACCAGTTATTTGTAATCAAAGCTGTCTTGAGCCCTTCTGCCCTTATGCACTGGATAGCTGTCAGCACTTCAGGATATGGTTCAATCATTGCTTTATGAATGCTTGGTAATAGAGCTCCCATGTCCACTGGTTGATGTGTCATGGTTTGAATGATTTCTGTAAATTTCCTGGCAAATTCCTCTGGCAAAAGATGACCACATTCCAGCTGTGCCCAGACACCTGCAAGAACAAAATAATTTAGTCTATAATAATAATAATAATAATAATAATTTAGTTTAAACTCAAGATCTCTCTATAAAACATGCAGAAACCTTTGGGAATAGAATAGCACTAACTGCCTGCACTAGAGAGGGAGGTGTCTTAAGTCAAATCTGACGATGAATGAATAGTTTCTACCAAGTAAAAAAATCCTTTAATATAAAATAAGAGGAATTTGTATTTTTTTTGGACAGGTTAGTCAATATACATGTTACAGGTCAAATTTGATTTTAGGTTAATTTTGATTTGACCTAGGTTGATTCTCAATTCCCTTTGTCTCTTAGCCCTAATTCATGAATAATTAGGGCTAGGAAAAAAAGGAAATAGAGAATCAACCTAGATTGAATAATTTTAACCTGAATATTATTTTGACCGTCCTGTAACATATACCCAGTCAAAACCTCTGGAACTGTCACTAAGGGGTAAGAGTCCATTCTAGTCCAGGTGCACCTCTTGCAAGGAGTCAAAAATCAATGACTAAAGATTAGAACAACAGAACCCAATCTGGAGTTGCATGTTAGAGAGGTTTCTGTTAACCATTTTAGCCCCAATATCCACATACAAATTCTCCAGACTGGTCTCCATAAATTTCCTTACAGAATTAGTCGAGAGAATTTGATAAAAGATCAAAGCATGTTCCCTTTGGTGATCATTTTCTTCATTCTCATTACATTTTCTCTTCATTAAGTATTGACATTGTTAGGAGAAAATAATATTGATGTTGGTCACTCTTGGGAGTTACAGGGTTAACCCTCCCATTTGCAAGTCAAGAGTGTTTGATGGAGTTTTGTAAGGTGACTCTAACTTTTGAGTTTGCGGACGAAATCCTATGATCTGACCATTCAAATGAAAGCTCTCTGCCTGTACTTACACATGGTGCTATTTATTTTTCAAAATTTCACAAAATGAAATTTGGAAATTTAAGAGAGATTTGACTGTATAATGTTACTATGTAGATAATGTGAACTTAATCATCACATTATTGCAAGTCATAATGTTGCATTATTTTGTAATTTCTGGTAATTATTTAAAAAAAAAGTTAAAGTGGACACCCGCACTCATGTATGGGTCTTAGAGAGAGTAGACTATATTTTCTTACCAAATGACAGGTCTTAATTACCTCTCTCTCCACCAGCTTTGATTGCCGAGACAATAGAGCCTCTCTGGAGACCATGATCATCTTCAAACTGATTGAATATAGGCAAGGGCGTGGGAATCACCACCCCTCCCATGTCAAAAGCAACAGCCTTATATATAGGCTTAAGTGATTGGTCACTAGCCGCATAGTGTCGAGGGTGATAGAGATGCAGACAGCGAAGATGAAGATATCTTAAACTTCTTAGTTGAGGAATCATCATTCAAGCTGTTTTCCTCCAATATATTGACCTTCCCATCTTGTGTATAAATCTGTATATTTTGTTTGAGAGCTTGTTTTAAAATTCTTATCATACACTAGCAAAAACAAAAACAAGGGAAAACAACTATAGGTTAAAAATATAAGGTGACAGTCCTAACACCCTAGCCTAATTTATATCAAGTCTCACTATAGATCTATGCGGTAAAACCATAGAATGAGAGTGAATAATTTTCATTTTTATGCAGGACTTACAGACCTGACAATATTGTAAAGAAAAGTTTGAGCACCAGGCTTAAACTTGTTTGCTTTAAAGAGCAGCAGAAAACATGGAATGATCTCAAGTAGCCAGTAAAGGTTATTGGATGGCCACCAGACGTAATAGGCTCAATTTTCATTGTTCTCTTGTACTGGGTTTTATCTAGTTAATTCCTCCCAGGCTCCAAATCTCCTTCCCTGTGTTCTTAATCATCCACTGACAAAAGAGTCCGATGACTCTGATTAATAGATCACCCTGGGGTGATTGTGTTCCCACCAGGGTTAGTTGTGGGAGGGGGAGGGGCATGAGTCATGTACCAAGTACAGGAGTTTTCTTAGCTACCAAAAATTTGTACTTAAGAATTTGGCAAGGTTACTCATGATCATTGCAGTACAGGAAATAACAAGACAGGAATATATAAGGTGTTGAATCAAACTCAAATAACGATAAAAGCATGGGCTCATCATGGCCAGTTTTTGAAACTGCCACATGTGAAACCCTAAAAGAAAAAGCTTGCATCCCAGGAAAAATAATATCAGCTTATCGGTTAGTTTTATTTCAACGATCACAAATTTTAGAGTTCCCTAGAGTCTAACATTGTATTAATTAAGCTTAAACATTTAATATTAAGCTTGAGCTTGACCAGAAACTTGCCCCCACAAAAATTAAAAGAGAAAGCTTGATAAAGTTTTCTTATTACTTCAATTTGATCAAGGGTTAGTACGATTTTTTGAAAATAAGAACTTTGAACAGCTTTAACGAAGAACAAAAGAGAAAGTAACTGCTGCATATTCACCTTTTCCGCTGATGAATGCCTTGTTCCTAAGTTGATCTAAGTTAAAGTTATTCAGCTTGCCATATTGAAAATTGCGAGAGTCTGGCACTACAAATTGAACATTGTTACGCGATATTATTCGTAGGCTTACATGACGCACAAGGAAATGTTTCCTCCCTGCATTCACATCGAGTAGGACGGTACGGCTATCGTCGGTTGTCGACTGGATTTTTCCTGTTTTCCGACATCATGGCATCTTTTATGAGGCCATCAGTAGGAAGGTATACATTGCTTCCTTCTGCTTCGTCTTGCGAAGATGTTTCGGTGGAAAGACATAGTGTTCTGACCTCCATGGATGGTAGAGGTATGTACGCATGGTGTGCTCCTTTTTCTTCTCAAGTTCTGCATGTTTTGGTTTCGTGACTGGGAGTGGAAAATGATTTTGACCTTGACTGTGGCAAATGATTAACTGAGGAATAGGGTAGTTGATCAAAAATTCAACAATTAATTTTCTTTAGCTGAAAAAGATGAACTGAAAGGCTGACAGGCCTTGGATTGAATTGAATCCTTGGCTGGGACCTTCGTCTACAAAAATGGATGCTGTACATTCTAAATTCGAGATTTCTCATTTTATGAAAAAAATTGAAAACAAATTGTAGAGTAAGATTTTGTTCTCGTAATTTCAAACTGCCTGTTTAAATAAAAGAAAAAAGAGTTCTTATCCTATGATTTGTTTTAAATTTTTCTTGTAAAATAAATAAACGTTTTCTTAAATAAAATATTGAGAGTTTCGGAGCAATCTCAAATTTAGAGTGGTAGTCTAATATTAGGGCGCTTTCCAAAAGTCAGAACTGGCCGGCCGGACCATGGCCGGACAAGTCATTTTGACAATGAAAAATGCTTTTGCAATAGGTTTTCGTTGAAGAACCCTCCCCTTCAAGCCTACTGTTTAAAATTTAACTGATCTAACTGAATAGTTATGATTAAAAATGAATTTCTCATCATTCTGGTCTCACGGCTGACAAATGGAAAGCAAACCAGGGCTGATCTGGCGGATTTTGATAATCTGCAAGTGAGAAAAACATCAACTAGCAAACGTTTGTGAGTTGGAATCATCCATGTCTCCCAAACAAAGGGAAAGAATTTGCTAGTGGTCTCACCAGTTTGCTAGTAGAAAAAAATCTTTCTAGCAAAACTTTGCAAGTGCACTAAAAAGTTAACTTCGAGCCCTGTAGACTACAGCACATGTGTAGTGTTAATACATGTAAGTAGAGGCTAACCTCTTGATAAGCTTCTACTTCTATTCGAGTTATTTTTAACTTTTCTAAAGGACAAAAATGGAAAATCCCCATCAAAAAATGGGCTATTTTTGAGTTCGTCAGTCTCTACAATCATCACTAGTCCATGGCTGATCTTGATCAATACCCTGCAATCCGTTCTAAGCAGGGTATACATGAGCATAATGATACATTCTATTAAGAAGAACCCGCATACATTTCCAACTTGTTTTTAACTTGTAACTCATAAGCGCACTCTAATGTGATCACTGCATTTACTATTCCCTTTAAATATAACCTGAACACCTAATAAAAACAGCATTTTTATATCACAATGAGGTTTTTCTGTGAACAATGATGAGATATCCCAACCACTGACTTGCTCCAATGGCCAAGAACATCTGCTACTAAGGAGTTTTCCTGCAGAAAGAGAAGGTAAATGCATTGTTCATGTCAAGAGGCCATTGGATGTACATGTATGTTACAGGTCAAATTTGTTTTCAGGTTAATTTTGATTTAACCTAGGTTGATTTTCAACCTACAGTACAGCCCAAAAATGATGCACACACAAGAAGTGGTGCAAGAAGTTGTTGCACCACAAGAACACGCAAGCAAAAGTGCCATATTTTTGTGGTTTATCCGCAAGAACTTCAAAACACAAGAAGTCAAAAATCTTTATCGCAAGAAGCTACAAAAATTACCACAAGCCTCAAGAAGGCACAAAAAGTTGTTTTAATATAAGTACACCACTGTATTCACCTGGACAAAGTTTGTTGTGTTTCGCCTTTTTATTCGAACATCTTTTGTAGTGTTGAATTTTTCCAGCCAATAATTTACTCTGTGGCAGCAAAAGGTAATCATGCAAGTGCACGCATAAAAAGTTGCCTAAGAAAGTGACGAACCTTCCCTGCTTTTTCTGCAAAGTGAACACTTCCATCCTTTCAGCATTTTCAAAGTTTAAGATAAAGTGTGTGAAGCATTTGTTTAACAAAACGGTCTATAGTTTCGAATGTTTCGATCATTTGGATTGTGCCGATTTTCTATTGTGTGTTGTATCTTTCTGCAAAGAACTTCTTGTGGTTTAAATTTCTAACCGCAAAAGTTGTTCTTGTGTCTTGCAGAATTGAAGCACAAGCGCCCCACAAGCAGCCACAAGAAGTTGCCAGCTTGTGGATGCCAAAATAAGTTTTTGCACGTGCATTATTATTTTTGGGCTGTACTGTACTAGGTTAAGGGTAATTTTCCACTGGCTGAGAGTAACGAATTAAGTGGAAAATGTTTTTCTCACACACCGCTGGGAGCCTGGGTATAGGTCATGTGACTGAAGGGCGGGCAGATGCTTTTGTTGCGTCCGCCATTACTGACCTTCCCACCCACCCACCCTAAGATTTCAGTTTTGTATGCCGTTAAATGTACGGTGCAACTTTGTAGTTTTGTTAGCGCCCTACCTTTCTAAGGTTATGATATGTATGCATTTTTTGAGTTTAAAATAAAGGTCAGGCTGCGGCGGTCGGCTTGGCATGGCTACCAGTGGTGTGTGAGAAAAAAATTTAACCTGAAATCAAATTTTACCTGTAACATGTGCATTTGTGAATTTACTATTGTACATGTTACTCAAACTGGCTACACTGAATGTCACAGTGAAACCAACTTGTCTGTAAAATGCAGGTCAAGGTCACGATCTCATTGGAAACTCAGTGGTGAAATCAAATATATTGTTTTAGAAATTGATGAAAGGAGTAGGGTTTGTTTTTCTCTCGAACTGTAATTTGAAAGCAGCCTTATTTGTTTGTCAAAAAAATAATGATTTACTGAATGGTGTGAAATAAATTAATAAGCAATGGCTTATTTTATATTATTTTTTAAAAACAGTGCTTTCAATGCATGAGCACCCACTGCTGACGAAAAGTAGAGTGTAGGCTACTAGACTGCTTAGAGAAATCCACAGCTACATACATGTACTTTTTCCCCTGAACGGAAGTACTGGGTATTTAAAAAAAGGATTCTTTCAAAACCTTAGGTACAGTCTAAGCTGTCCATAGTACATGCATGTACAAGACAATGTTTAAACATAAATAAGCATAATTTCAGGTCAAAGAATCCCTGAGCCTATCTGTACTCTGATGCTCAATGCAGTGGAAGATGCCAAATGAATGGTATCTGCCACTTTAACTCAGAATCTGAAACAAAAAGTAATAAGTAATATTTTAATTAATACACCGTGCATAACAACCACAACAAATGTTTCTAATATGACATGTAATGTGCATAACAGCTGATAAGAGATAGTAATACTAGTAATGCTATTATTTTATAGTTCTAAGCATCGCAGTGTGAAAAAAACAAAGCATTTCTTTTTTCTAAGAAAGCAGCTAACCATCCGTCCAGAATCATGTCATTATCAAGCAGTCTTTATGTTGTCATCTTAACGGCACTGTACTGGATCTACAGTGTGCATGTACCTTAAACAATCTAAAAACAAATTAATTAATTGACAGCCATACATGTATTTCATAACAACTGGTTCATCATCTAAGAATGTCATTTTCTTTTCCATTTTTTTGTTAGAAGCTGAAAGCAATAAGAAGAAGTTGTCAACATTCTTTGGTGTTGTGGTTCCAGTTACACTGTCTATGTTTTCAGTCATTTTGTTTTTACGTCTTGGATTTGTTGTAGGACAGGTGTGTAACTTTGTTTTGTTCTGTGTCCATTTATTCTGACTCTCCAAGTATAGAAGTGTTGGTATGTGATAGCGGCCGCTAGAAGTTGTATTAAGTGAAATCATCATCAAAGTGATGATCATCAAGTAAATCATAGCCTGTTCCAGGCGTTCAGACAGTGGGAGCGCGAAAAACTAAAAGCGAGGGAGGAGGAGAGGTGAGAGAGGGAACGCCTGTTAGATTTGTTTTAAATAGACTCTTCCGCCCAGTCAGACCGCATCAGCTGTATTGGTCTTCACTTGTCAATCAAGACTGGTGTTACAGCCCGATGCATTTATTATTTTTCTTTGCGAATAAATCGAAGTTTGTCAGATCAAAAATTAATTTATGTATACATAATCTTACTAAAAACCAATGTAAGACTTTCAGACAATAGAAGGCGGGAGAAGTATTCATGTATAATGAATTTATTTCTGTTTTAAAACATGATTTCAGCGTGTAATGTGACAAAAAATTATGAATCAAGTGACAAACAAATATCGCTCATTTCGATAGAAAGCCGTTTCAATACAGATCGTTAACTCAAGCAATGAAAATGCACAACAATTGAAGGAAAAATTTACTATTCGGTGATTGAGTGGACCTCGTCAATAGCGATAAGCGGCAACTTGCTTTCAAAGCTTTTCTTTTGAAGTCCTTTTGTCCATTTATTAAACAACCACGATTTGGCACTTCAGTAAACAATTTCACAGCTTCCACTTTTAACGGCTTCATCCATATCTTCTCCCATCATTGCCGCCGCTACTCCGATCTGACTTGTTCAAATATTCCACTTGGTCCATGATGGTAATCAACGGAGTTACCACAACAATCGTAAATGGCATTCTATCCTGCCTTCATTCCAACGCACGCTTTATTCGAGGAAAAAACTGGAAAATAAGAATTTTTCCAAAGCCAGTCGGTGAGAAATTGCTAAGACATCTATCCTACCGACTACGTGTTTTAAACAGTTTCTTTGCTATTCGCTTTTAGCCTCCACGTTTGGAAAGTGTTTGTTGCGAGTTTGATTTCTGCGTGACGGCACGTAGAGTCTGTCATAACGGCCATATCGCATTTCTCGCTGTGATCGAAGACGCTCCACTGTTGACAAAAACTGTCAAAATCAACCAATCAGAGGGTATACCAGGATCTGGTATACCGGAACGCACTTTTGTTAAGAATTCTTACAAGCGTTCCCGCACCTCTCTCCCCAGTCCCCCTCTACTTTTCATCGCTTTCCCTACTCCACACCGCTCTCCACTATCTGAACGCTTGGAACAGGCTAAGTAAATCATCAATGCATCATCAAGTGCATTAAGTGAATCGGGCCATGCATTAAGTGAATCAAGTAAAACTTGATTCACTTAATGCATGGCCTGAAGTGTGTGTATATAATCCTTGTCCTGAAATATTGTGAGTTGTTTGGAGTACATTTTCATCACTGTACCTGGATCATAAGAAAGGTTGTAAATGACACATTATGGAAGAAAACAATAGTAGTCATCATCCCCTGGCTTGTAATGCCTCTTTCTTAAATTTAATACAGTGTACATGTAACCCCACCCCCCTGTTAAATAGCTATTAAACTCCACTTGCGTAAGCACTTCCTTGCCTCATCTCTCTTGAGGGCTGTTTTCCTTCATTATTATCGCTTTATGACTACTGAGAGAAGGCTGTAGGGATCATGTGGAAACCAGTCTTAACACGTGTCTGATGAATCCTGTTTCCTAGAATGAGCATCGCACGCTCAAACATAAATGCCTCACTGAACAGTAAAATTAACCTGATAGTTCTGATCACTTAAAAAAGAATCAAACTTTAAAAAAGTGCTCCAACCCTTGATTAAACATCTACCCTTATAATGTGGGTGCACCTGTCCCTTCAAATGAATGATCTTTCTGTAAAACAAGCATCAACCTTAAAGATGCATTGCATTGTATGCACATTATAGGCCTGGTTCTCTGTGTCAGTAGGACACTCTATTGGATATTATTACCTCATCAAATTCAGTCATGACTAAAATATGTACACCTGTTTAAGTTCTTCCTTGTCAGTTCCCCTCACATTTCAAATAATATATGTTAAAGCATATCTCTTCAAATAAACTCATCTTGTCTATGAACGTTGATTTTAAAAGAAGTTTACATATTTTTATGTTGTGTTTGATTTTCCCAGGCTGGCCTAGTCCTTTCAGTGGGAATGTTTGTGGTTGCTTACTTTATAGTGGGTCTAACAGCCTTATCCATCTCTGCAATTGCAACAAATGGTACCGTTAAAGAGGGTGGAGCCTATTGTATCCTGCAGCAACCATAAGTTAGAGGTCATCACTTAATATAAAATTTAGTAACTTAAAAGTTCACTACCAAAAGCTGGTCTTTAAGAAAGGTTTGCAGATCCTACAACAGTTAACCCAAATGTGATACTTGCAGTGTAAATAGTATAGTACTGTAGTTATTAAAGCGGTAGAGGTGTGGTAGGGTTTATTATGTCACTAAGTGGCCTAATGCCAAGACTGGGCTGTCTGTGGTCCTACCCAGTGATACAGCCATTCCATCCAGTGGTTGCTATGTAACTGTAAAATCAGATGTATTTAAAAATATTGTGTTTGTTAAAGACGTTACATGTGTACATGTCCATGTAATACATAGTTTTATACATCATGTCATCTGCATTTAAAAAAAAAAACTAACCCAAACATTCTCAGTTTACGTATTGTTTATTTTCAATTTTGCCATCCTAAACCAACCTTATAAACCTTTATTATACCACCTTTGGTGTATTTTTGTGTACTTTAACCTATGTTGAGGTTCCAGATAAACCTTTACACTGAGCTTGCTAAATAATGGCACAAAAATTTAATATGAGGAAGTTCTGTTAACGTTAACTGCTGCTGTCAGATATGATCAGTAGAACATTAGGTCCGGAGTTTGGTGGATCCATTGGGATTATCTTTTATTTTGCAAACATATTTGCATCTGCTGTCTACCTTTTAGGTGAGTTTATGTATACTGTAAACTGTTTAATGCGATGCTAAAAATTA